AGATGCTAGCAAGGAGTTGTATACTGTTTTTTATATGTAAATAATAAATACAGGTAAATTGCCTTTGTGATAACGGGAGATATAGGAGTAGGCTTAGATTAGTTAGCCATCATTGCTACATTATGGTCATCTGCCAACTAATTGAATCTTACAAACATCTGCATTTCTCCAATAATATAACGTTTGAAAACTTAATTTCATAAATTGCTAGGCTACCAAAATAAAGCTTATCACAAAAATATAATAATGGTAAACTTAATTTTAACTTCAGTGGGAAATGTTTTAAAAAAAAACGAGAATAAATGGGAATCTAAATTTCAAATCAGCAAAGATATGGATTGGTGGAAGAATGTATATACTCAAACCTTTATATTTACTACTGACATGAAACTAAATTTGTTTTAGTTCCGGGTAAGTCACAAATTTGCTTTGATGTAAAATTCGTATTAAACATTGCGAACTGTGTCCAGCAGACTATTGTACAGTTTAATAGATACCAGGAGATAAGAGGATTTTACATAGCCTAAGCCTGTTCCCCAATCCCATTCAGACAACCTGAATAAAATATTGTTTTAAACAAAAGTTGGTTAATAATAGAACAAATATTGTAATAGTTAATAGTACCAATCACCAGATCTTGTACAAACTCTAACATTATGCTATAGTTGATAGCACCAATAACCGGATATTGTACAAACTCTAACATTATGTTATAATAGTTGATAGTATCAATCACCAGATATTGTACAAACTCTAACATTATGTTATAATAGTTGATAGTACCAATCACCAGATATTGTACAAACTCTAACATTATGTTATAATAGTTGATAGTACCAATCACCAGACATTGTACAAACTCTAACATTATGTTATAATAGTTGATAGTACCAATCACCAGATATTGTACAAACTCTAACATTATGTTATAATAGTTGATAGTACCAATCACCAGATATTGTACAAACTCTAACATTATGTTATAATAGTTGATAGTACCAATCACCAGATATTGTACAAACTCTAACATTATGTTATAATAGTTGATAGTACGAATCACCAGATATTGTACAAACTCTGATATTATGTTATAATAGTTGATAGAACCAGTCGCCAGATATTGTACAAACTCTGATATTATGTTATAGTTGATGTATAAACTCTAACATTATCATATATTAGATATAGAACCAATCACCAGATATTATACTTAGTAGGATTTCATATTTATAAACAAAGACTTTAAATTCAAAGCCTATATTAAGTATTTGTCAGCTAATAAGAAAACACCACTACCTACAAAAACACATGTATGTATCGTGTGGTGAATTAAATACGGATCATTATTCAAATCGTCATCACCTACAAAACAAATCCATGTATCGTGTTGTGAATTGAATACGGATCATTATTTAAATCGCCATCACCTACAAAAACAAATTCATGTATCGTGTGGTGAATTGAATACGGATTATTATTTAAATCGGTTTTCTAGATTCCCTTAGACGCCATAGTTTTCTCAAATTTAGTAACTGCTAATTTATGATAACATTGAATCATTTATTCTTGTTAATTATTTTTATATGAGCAAGGAGTGTTTTTTTTTAAATAAATGCTTACATATATAATTGTGATGTTTAGTTTGAAAAGACTATTAAAGAAAGAATTAATGATTTGATTTTCATAGTTTGATTATAAATGGCATTAGTTTTAAATTGTAAAGGCAGTGCCATCTTTAGTTCGAATGTTTGGTTTCATCGAAAATGTCTGAATTAATTTTCAAATCCTAACGGTTACTACCATCAATCTATTGGATCAATAACTATGTTTCGATACTATCAATTCAAAATTTCTACACGGTATTGCACAAAGGAGCAGGTGTGAACTAGTGATGATTCTATTGGAATATGCATCGCATCCGATACATTTTGGATAAAATCAAGTAAGTGGTTTAGCAATCTGATAAAAACACAGATCCTATTTCGTTTCGTTTTTATAGTTCAAAATTTCGTTTTGTTTGCCTTTACTAAACTAGTATTTCGTTTTATTTGTACTAAACTAGGATCTGGAAGAGTTTTTGTATAACCTGCGTTATAGATAGCGTGAGGGATTATCCAATGAAACCATCTGTTACGGCGACTTCTTGGCGTCCGATGCACGGAACTGTGGATAAACCACTAGAAACGTCAATGTTGATTGATTAATCAATGCCTGGCGTTATAGGGCCAAAATCCGCACGTACCCCTGACATGACCTCCCACTACAACCAGTCAGATCTACATGTAGTATAGGCCATTGTTTAGGAGACGATGTCGAAAATGTTCAAAGATGTCTGAAGTTGAAATTCATCAGACAGTGTTTTAGAGAAGACAGTGAAGGCGGTCACAAAGTGGTGGAAGATCTTCAGGGTAAAGGCAAACTGTTCTCCGTTCTAATAAACAATACTACATGTATATACAACAATTAAAGATGCCTTTCCACGTACAAACTGTGTGACTAGAATAATATTTAAACGAAATTAATAGTTTGCTTTAAATCCCTCTCAAAACATTTTTAATCGCAAGAAATAAAATAAAACCAAGTACGAACAATCCAAACCATAAGACAGAATTCGAAGTCCTAAAAAACGTTATAAGCAAATAGTGTTTTCAAGCAAAATAGTGTAATCAGCAAATGGACTGCTCCTCGTGTACAAAATACACGACAAACAGTGGTAACAGGTGTCCGGAAGAGCAAGCTTACCCTGCCTGGCGCCACACCCGCCATAGCTGCATCCAAACTATTAGGCGAAATGTCGGTAAAATAGCGTGATTGGCCAATGAACTATCGGTAAGCAAAATGCACGCGATGAACTGTGTTAACGATGTAGTAGACATTATCAGGGAGATAGTAATAGTATACTTGTCAATTAAATATATCTAGAATAATAGCCGAGAGAGACACGTTATATTTACCAATCAAATCAATATGGCGGCCATAAAACTTTTTGAAGGTTTTAATAAGTTTAGTGCGCAAGTATCCTTGTAGTTTTAGCTTAGATGACAAATGCCTCGATCTACTTAAAAAATCAGAATAAAAGGAACAAGCTCTCGCGTAACGAATTAGCTGAGACACAAACACTCCATAAGCTGGTGATATTGGAATGTTACTACTAATAAATGGAAAGTTAACAATCGGAAAGTCAAAGTCATCACGTTTATCGTACAATTTAACACTCAGTTTATGGCAATTGTCAAAATCGAGACGCAGATCCAAGTAGGAAGCGTAATTGTCACTGTCAGTGGTGTTTTTAATTTCGAGCTCATCAGGATATATGAATTCTACATAATCACTAAATTTAGGATTATTAAGTGATAAAACGTCATCGATATATCGATAAGTGAAATTAAAAAGTCTGACTGATCGTTTATTAGTTTTTACGAGCGTCTGTATGTAATCGGCTTCGTAAGAATAGAGAAACAGATCAGCAAGCAAAGGTGCACAGTTGGTGCCTATGGGAATGCCAACCACTTGCTGATATATTTCCCCTCCAAATTCAACAAAGATGTTATCAATTAAAAAATCCAACATCTGAATTATCTTGATGGCCGTGAATTTGTTTTTGGAATCACTGTGATTCTTAACGAAATATGTGGAATTGTAATTTACAACTAAATATTGATATCTAGCAGTACCTGATTTAGACGAAAAGACACTGTGAATAATGTCTTTAAACCGGGCTTTTAATTTACTATGGGGAATTTTGGTGTACAAAGTAGAAAAGTCAAACGTTTGAATAGATGAGACTGAAGCAAGGGATCTAGATTGCAAACCATCAAGTAATTCTTTGGAATATTTCAATATCCACATTTGATTAATACCGCTACGAGAGTATATTTTGTCACAGTATTTTTGAATACCCTCTTTAACAGCCGTTAGTATAGATGTCAATACTTTTGAAAGTGGTTTTGTGGAACAACGGGATGAACCTGCTATAAAACGTTGCTTGTAGGGATTTTTATGTAGTTTAGGTATCCAATATAACAAGGGCAAATCTGTATAGGTATCCCCACACGGAGTACCAAATGAAGTGAGTACAGATTTGTGATTGGATATAATTTCATCCTTACTAAGAGTAGATCGTTTATATGTAGCACTGTCGATTGGTTTCCCGAAATTAAGTTCTTTGAACAGACAGTCAAAATAATGTCGTTTACATATAAACACTATGTTATTGGACGCCTTGTCAGCCGGAACAATGACATACTTGTCATGCAAGGCATTGAGATTTTCAACAATGCTAACATCATTGAAAATAGACTTAGTCCTGACAAACGTTGCATGTTTATTCTTCGTTTAAGTAAACGACTGATAGACTTAGTCCAATCAGAGAGAGTATCCGAGATAACATCTTCCCTCTTGGCCCATGATCTAGCGTAGTCCTCTACGGCATCCATAATAAGTTTGAAATTTTGATCCCATGAAAATGGTTGCGGTCGTTTAAGTATCTAAATGTTCTCACACCCGTTCGCATTAAATTAACACATACGTCACTGAAACAGACAATAGGGACTTTTCGCATCGGTACGAAAACGAATACGTAAACGAAAACGTCATCGATTTGTGTGTACTTGTGACGTCAAGCCGTACACGTGTGTCCGGTCAACGAGAAGTAGTAGCGATTGTGGCGGGATTCACGTAGGTACGTAAACGAAAATGTTTCTTGTCTCATATATTGAATTTTTCACCTTTTTTGAGGCCTTGTGTATATTGTTGATTGTGTAGAGTATGTAGAATGTGCTCAAATTGCCTCAAATGCAATATTCTGCTTGATTCGTTGTACATCTGCCAAAAAACCGTGAAGTTCATGGAGCGGCAGGTTTAATTCAAGTTGAATAGAATAGGCCTAATACTTTTAAAAAAAAAAAAAAAAAATATCGAATCGAGATCTAGATCTGTATTTCTAAATAATCAGTTTATGAAAAAGGGCCCCTTTATCAAGCCGTGGGGGGGGGGGGGGTAGTAGGCCTTTTCCCTAGCCTATTGATTTATTGATTTATACTCTGATTGACAGGATTTCAGTTGATTCGAATACAATTGGCTCATTTACTTAAAAGGCTACACTATTATTCTTTTCAGATTCATCATCAAGGATCACAGACTCAGACTGTTTACTTTTATCCTGCTCTAGATGCAGTTCTACTGCGCGAGGTTTACAGTCTTAATCCTTACGCTCACGGCGGTGCTCCGAAATAGGAGACTGTTTGTCGACATGTAAATAAGGCCTTATGTGGAAACACGACAGTGTAAAGAGAGAACTACAAGACTTTTGACAGTTTTCAAAAACAAGAGATAGCCTCACTTAAGGCGTAAGTCGGCCTATTGCCATTTTTCATTATCTTTAGATTATGGGTCTATCGATTCCTCATTTATTTTTTTATGTCGAAAAGACACAAGCCCACGACTAAATATTTTTATGCATAGTCCTACTTTTGCTTACAGATATATTTGTCTGATATTTATCAATTAAATTAATAGTATTGGGGTTTTATTTGCAGTTCAGGATTTGCAGAGGAGGAGTTTGAAGAAAGGGAGAGACTTTTAACCGAGTTGTAAGCCTTGCAAGAGGACAGCAAGGAATCTGACCAGGAACAGAAGAAAACGATAGACAAAGAAAATGAGAAAGAGAACGAGAAAGTAAAAGAACAACAGGGGAAATTTATCCGTGAGGCAGCCATGGAATCTCTGAAAAGTGCTGAAGGTTTGTGATTGACATCTATTTAGCCAGATTATTTTTAGATTCATTTTCAATAACCTATTTCTCATTTTTTGGGAGTTGGTGGTGCAGTACGCGTGGCGCTGGTGCACTAACACACGGAGTCAAGGGTTTGATCCCAGTGATACAGTGCTAGCTGAGATAGTACTCCGTATTTTCCAGCCTGGTTTCCACTTTATCAGTGGCACTGGACAGGAAAATGAACGGGGCTAGTTGATTCGGATGAGATGAGAAATCTAGATCCAACCGTATACTCATTGTCTTGGATGTGAAAGATAGTTGGATTTCGATGAGGAGGAGACGGAAGCGTTGCTGTCCGAGCAAAATTTCCCTCATACTGGATGGCTAATGGCTAAGCTGGGTTAATTCCACACCCTACATTTGATTTTCGACAAAATCCCCGTCTAACAGTTTTTCAAAAAATTTAAAACTTACTATTTGTTCTGAGCCCTAAAATAACAATGGAACATCAGTATCTAAATAATGCCTATAAATTTCCATTCTAGATGGCAAGTGTGAAGAAATTGATTTTGGAACCCTTCGCGGCACAAAAACAAATGAAAGATGACATACTGAACTTTCTGAGGGAAAAGCATGAGGCTGAAGTCAAACTTTGTCAAGAAGAATTACAGCTTGGTATTGGAGGGGAGAGAAAGAGAAAATGTAATGCAGCTAATGTTGCAGATGATGCAGCGTTTCAAGGACACTTAAATCAATTTTTTATTTATTCACAAGACACAAATCTATGTAGTACAAGAACAGTTGTGTGATTAAACTGTTAAACAGTTTTAAAGCCTTTATAATTGTATATATTTCAGAATAATATGATAGGCTACCGTCCAAAAATATGCGTAAGTTTTGGGTTAATTTCAAATATGTTGAAGTTTTATTTGGTCAATTTTGTAACATCAGGGAATACCTCTGGATACCTCTGCTGATTGACAAAAATAGTTTTAAAATCAAAAAGAAAGATTATGTCGACATTTTATGATTTTATTTTCTATCGTGATACCTGTCAAGCCAGATGCAGATTTTCTATTTTAATAAACATAATATTAATAACCATTCTGTTTTTTGGTATTTGGGGGGTTGGATGGCTGAATGGTTAGCGTGCGCGCGCTGTATCATAAAGTCTGTCATTGAGTCGACTGGCGTGATTTCGAATCCCCGGTTGTACGTGGCAAGGAGTAGGGTCGCCTGTCCAACCTCGTGGTTTCCTCCCACTGCTAAAGACCCCTACGCGCGAGCGAATTATTGAAATAAAATTAAACCATTTGTTAGTCCCGAAATGACCTAGTTTGTGTCGAGTGGACGTTAAACCCCATTTCTCTCTCTCTCTCTCTCTCTCTTTGGTATTTACTGAAACTAAGCTAAATATTCCTCCAGGTTTGGGGGTATAACTGAAAAATAATCACTTGTTTGTGAATGATAAAGACACTTGTGGCAGTTTGTATGTAAAGCACCAACCAAATAGTACATGGCTACTGGCTGCAGGAGTACCTTCCGATTTTTTTTTAAAATCCAGATAGGCAAATAAAGTTAAAATCTTTCCAAATTGCCACTCCACACACTCCCTCAAAGAAGACATTGTCTTGTTAAATAATGCTTGCTGAGGAGTAAGGTTTGCTCCTTTAAAAGGGCAAAGTAGATAGTCTCGTACTAGGTATGCTTGATCCCCATAGATAGAAAATGGAAGTCCATTACCATCCTGCCATTGAAGTTCCTCAAACTGCTCCATTACTCCACCGAATCTTAGCAAAGCACACTCATGCCTCCTTCCTTCCATCGGTCCAAACATATTTGAAATCATGCAATCTGGGGTTACAATCGATTGAAATGTCAGCGCATGTATTCTCTTGTGTCCGTTGTAACTTATCCTTTGATCGAGCGTTGGTCTGCACAATGGACGTACATTTCCATCAACGAGGGCAAAGCAATTGGTTAGGGGAGCAGCATGGTTGTGTACAGCATCAGCATAGTTTTGGAGACGATTTGTAATCCATGGTTGGTCAAGTTGAATAAATATGGTTAAGAACCAGTTCGATGGCCATAGAAAGAGTCGATTGGGGTCTTCCAAAAAAAGGCTCCAGGTCTACAAGTCTCTTTGGATAAGCCAGGCGCCGTAACAACATACAAAAAGCATCAATCCCAGTGACAACACCTCGATTAGGGCAGATGAAAGTCTCTGGTATTTGCAGGGCATTCGCAAGACGACGAATATCGGTCTTATAAAAGCGAAAATAACTTGCACATTGAGCATCAGTAAATTTCTCTAGTTCAATTTTTTTGCAATCAGTATCGTATGTTGTTTCTGTGGATTCTGATAGCGAATACAGCAGAAATTCATCAAAATTTAAGTCGAGAAGGGTGAGCTCTTCTAAAGACATCGGCGCTGCCATTTTGAAATTAACGCCATCTAGCTATTTTCGTACGTAGGATTGCGAAACCGCATATTAGAAGACACGAAAACGTAAACGGACATATGTTCGTGTTCGTTTTCGTACCGATGCGAAAGGTCCCTATTAAGTCGACATGTTGCCAGTTGGTGATATCCTTACAGTTTGGTGCAGTGGGCGCCCCATGGGTATTTTGTCAGGGAATCCAGTATTTTTCTAGTACGACGACTGTGTCTCTCCTTTCTATGTATACACAATATACCATACGTTTAATGGAAAATAACTAAGGTATGGTAGAGTATTAAACGTGATATTATCTACCAGATATGGTATATTACCTACCAGGTAAGATATCGTGTTATAAATGTGATATTACCTACCAGGTATGGTATCGTGTTATGAAGGTTATATTACTTACCGGGTAAGGTATAGTGTTATGGTGGTTATATTACCTACCAGGTAAGATATGGTGTTATACACGTGATATTACCTACTAGGTAAGGTATCGTGTTATGGAGGTTATATTACCTGTATACATATTAGTTATAAATAGTAACTTGTACACGTCACTTACATTCGTCATTTATATATTAACAATGTATAATCACTGAATGAATCTATTCAATATACCAGGATAGGTCACGTGAATTGTACACTATCAATAGAGACAGGTTATCAAACTGCACGCAGCGATCCAACTACGTCATACGTCATTATAGGCGGAGCTAGCTGTTGTTGTTCTTAGCGTTTAACGTCCGCTTCCACCGAAGGTGATATCGCAGACAAGTTCATTTTAATTATCTTAGCGCACGCGCAGGGGTCTTTGCTGTGGGAGGAAACCGGAGTACCCGGAGTAAACCCACGAGGTTGAGAAGGCGCCCCTATCTCCAAGCCACATACGCTCACACCTGGGATCGAAACCACAGCCGCAAGCCAGAGGTGACCGGCCAACTAGAGGTCGAAGCGTGACACTCTAGACCACTAGGCCATCCCAAACCCCTAAGTTTGGGATGACAGGTTATGTCACGTTGTATGACGTCAATAGAAAGGGGAATACCCCGATATAACATGGAAAACAAATATTTAGTCTACATGAACGTCTTCTAGCACAAGTAAAACTCTTTATTTAGTAGTTTTAATAATACAGTTTAAGAGTAAGTTGGATACTATCTGGGTGTAATATGGTTTATTGGATACAATTTGAGTGTAATGTGGTATATATTGGATACAATTTGAGTGTAATGTGGTATATATTGGATACAATCTGAGTGTATTATGGTATATATTGGATACAATTTAAGAGTAAGTTGAATACTATCTGGGTGTAATGTGGTATAAGTTGGATATAATTTGAGTGGATATAATTTGAGTGTAATGTTGTACAATTTGTGTATAATTTAAATGTAATTTAGTAATGTGGTATACGTTGGGTATAAGTTTATTGTTTGGGGTTGAATGCCCTACTGTTGGCTAAAGAAGACTGCCTACTTTAATATAGAATTCCAACTGCGTAGTGTTCCTTTACGTGCATAACAATGTGTACACGGGGTCTCGGGTTTTTCCTTCCATTCCAACGACTACACGTTGTCGCTCGCCAGTCCTTCCGTCATGTACCATTGACAAAGGGGGGGGGCACTTTCTCGGCAAGGGACCTCCAGGTTAGCGATCCAAAGTCTTACTCACTGAGCCACTGCGGTTCCCGTAATATAGTATAAGTTGGATACAATTTGAGTATAATGTGGTCGTCTGCCATGTGGTCGTTGTTAAGCAACAACAGTGTAAAGTGGTATAAGTATGATATAAGTTTAGTGTAATGCGGTAAAAGTTGGATATAATTTGACTGTAATGTGGTATGTATTGGATATGATTTTAGCACAATGTGGTATAAGTTGGGTGTATATATTGGATATGATTTTAGCGTAATGTGGTATAAGTCGGGCGTAAGCTTAGTGTAATGTGGTATTTTGACATTTCAAATATAATTAGAAAAACAGATTTGGTTTGAAAAAGTTGATTAGCTTTCGGTCCTTAGTAACGGTGTTTATTTTGTTTTCTATTTCAAGGTCTATGGTACAACCACCTTTTGACGCGAATATTTGTTTGTAGAAGTTTTGAGGTGGTCTTCAATCCAGGTTCCTGTTATCTACATACGCCTCCAGAATGTCAGCTTGCCCGGGCAACCCTTTTCTTTAATTTCTCGGAATTAAAGGACGCTTCAAGTTATAATACCACGGTTACTTCATTAGATTCGTAATCCGACAAAGAGGCGTCATATATTCCTCTAAACAGGTGCTTGGTACAGCAGTAGAGAGTGAAGATCTGTGAAACGAAACAATATAAGCAGTATGGAAAATAGTGGAAGTAAAGTACTGTTGACTTTATGTGAGGATGGCGATTCGGATATAATCGCTTTAGGTAAAGCACTGTTGAAATCATGTAAGGATGGTGATTATGATAGCATTGATTCCTTGCTGAAACGTGGAGCCAACGTTGAATATACCGATTCATATGGTAATACTCCACTGCTTATAGCTGTCGGGAATCATCATACAAATTGTGTAGATGTGTTACGGAATAATGATTATTCCCCTGTCAATAAAGAACACAGGGACAAGGGGACTGGCCCCACACCTTTCATGAGGGTAAAAATTGTCCGATTGCTGATAAACAGTGGGTGCCAATTAAATAAGACGAACCGATGTAAAAATTCTGCACTACACCTGGCTGTCACATTTGAACATTTAGAAGTTGTTAAATTGCTTGTGGATAGTGGTATAGATGTTAGCCTCACTGACCAGAAAGATGAAACAGCACTACACATTGCTATAACTCTTCGCCACGTAGCTATTACATGTGTTTTACTTTCAAGACAAGGACGTCTTGATTCTCATTCTGTTTCGTTAGTAGACAGGACTTATGGTTATGGGGACTCTATTATGGTTGACACGTTTTTACAGAAATGTATGGAATATTCTGTGAGTAATAGTGAGATAAAATCGGTCCAAAATTTAATACAACACGGCATGCCTGTCGAAGCCTGGTTATTAGCACACGCTTACCGTAATGGAGATCTTGTAATGGTGGACACATTAATACAAGCTGCTCTGCACCAAAACCACGATCAGACCAGATTTCCAACTTTCATATATTTTTGTCTGATACATAAAGATATTGAGCGTGTTAAAAAATACAGTAAATATGCCAGTCCCTTTGGTGCTTTGGGGGATGGTCGGTCGTTATTAGATGTCGCATATCGTGCAGCAAACTGTGACATGGCGGGGATCTTACTCCAAAATGGCCATGAACTGACTTTTTGCAATTGTTTAAGCGCATTAAATTGGCATGTTTACCGATGCGATCAGACTAAATACAATATCATAAAAATTAAACATGTAATAAAGTATGGTATAGCGCATTTGTATCGTCGGCGAACACAGTTCATATCCCCACAGCTACATCTGGAAAACTATCATGAACTAGATAATGACATATTATTTCAGTATATCAACATACTCTACTTGATGTACATGTCTAACTTGTTAAATAACCATGAGTTACACGGTAGACTCTCACAGCTGCCTGTAGACTTTAATAACCAGGTGGATGTAAACAGTTTAACAAATATAGCTTCCGATCTGGTGCCATATCCTAGTCTCTCACGTGATGTGAATGTCGTCAACGGACAGTTAGAAGAACTGGCTTTCGGTTGTCTAAGATCATTACAAAGACTTGCTTCAATTCCTATGCCACTTGTTTGTATAACCCGTAATGTGATTTGTGGATCGCTAGGTCCGCCCAATATGTGGGTTAATGTAGGGTTATTGCCCCTACCTGATAAACTTAAATCGTTTCTAAGATATGATGATATCCTTGGAGACACGGACTATAATATCGCGAGACCGACATGCGCCATGGACAATCCGGGTAGGTAGGATTTTTATACTACAACACTTATAAATGGACTACCCCGGTTGTACGTGACAAGGAGTAGGGTCACCTGTCCAACCTCGTGGGTTTCAGCGTTTGACATGACTTGTGGAATATGACACTAGCCTCATTCTCCGAGTCCCTTGTTATAAATTGCACAGAAACGCATTATGGTCCACGATTCGTGTACCAATGGTAAATGTTTATTTTATCTTAAATAGTGTGTATCAGACGTCCACCTTTTCCCAGTAAGATCACAACACCAATGTTGATTTAAATTGATAAATAATTCGTGTTTTCAATGTGGAAAACTTTGGAGGATATTGAGTTAGAGACTTAGCTACTTTAATAAAGATTTACCCAGTAAAATATAATAGATAAATGCTACTGATTTCGACAATTATATTTATAAATAGATATTTAATGTCTTTGTTATTTAACATGTTCATTTTGTTATCACATTTTTGTTTGATTTTGACAAATAATTAAACTTCTGTATTGAACTCGCCAAAGCTAAAAACCTTCTTTAAACATGAGAGGAGCCATCTTGGAATTGTTACCGCATGTCCAATCTATTTAATACACAGATTCTATTTCGTTTCGTTTTTATAGTTCAAAATTTCGTTTTACTTGTCTTTACTACACTTGGATCTGGAAGAGTTGTTATTTAACTCGTGTTCTGAATAGTGTCAGGGATAAGCCAATGAAACGGTCTGTTACGACGAGCTTTAGGCGTGTTTTTCACGGAACTGTGAGTAATCCACTAGTAAGATCAATGCTAATTGGTTAATCAAATGTCTGACGTCATAGGGTCATAAGTCGGTCTTTTGACCCCTGACGTGACCTATCGCTATAACTTGTCAGATCTTCATGTAGTGTAGGCCATCGAAAGTATAAAAAAAACGAAACGAAATATAGATCTATATTTTAATCAGATTGTGGCATGTCAATACTCGAAGTCAGGGAAACGAGTATGCCAAATTTCACATTGATCTTGCTTGCATTGGAGGGGCCTTCAGAAGAAGAGTATCCCTTGGGGTCCTAGTCCTGGCCAAAACATTGAGACATAGATATGAGTTCTTGCTAGTAGGTGGTCTATAGTCAAGCTTACTTTTGAAGACGATATTGTTACGCATATAAAGTACCCCTCCTCCACCACGGTGGCTTGGTGAGTAAGACGCTGACTCGCTAGCCTGGGGGTTCGATGTTCGCTTCCGGTGTTGACAGAGAAAGTTCATCAGGATTTTCCGGCGTGGTTTCCCCTTGTCAGTGGTGCAGGACGGGGGGCCTGGCAAGGACAGCTGTCTAGTCGTTCGCATGGGACGAAAACCCGAGGTCCCGTGTACACATTGGCATGCACGTAAAAGATCCCTTGGCAGTTAGAATCCGATATAAGGGTAGGCCGTAGCGCAGCTGACTGAGCTAAATTTCCTTTATAGTAAACTGCATTACGTATATACCGGTCTTCATTAGCCCAGTCGGAACAGTAGAACGTTAAACCCCATTTCATTTCCAAAGGGCGTGGTCACAGCTGATTTTACATATACACGGAGAACAAGCTCCCATAGGCGAGAATAACTTAAATATTGAATTAAACAAGCATACCGAAAACATAAAGGGCGTGTGTACGTCAGGATTTATTAGGAGGATCACGTGGCTAAGCGGGTAAGACACTGGCTCGCTAGCCTGGAGGTCAGGTGTTCGATCCCTGGATTGGCCGAGAAAGTTCTACCAGATTTTCCAGCGTGGTTTCCCCTTGTCAGAGATGCAGGATGGAGGGCCTGAGAAGGACAGCTGTCTAATCGTTCGGATGGGACGAAAAACAGAGGCCCCGTGTACACATTGGCGTGCACGTAAAAGATCCCTTGGCAGTTGGAATTCGATATAAGAGTAGGCCGTAGCACCGCTGCCCGGGCAAAATTTCCCTCATAGCACACTGTATGGCGTATGCCCGTCTTCATTAGCTCAGGTTAGGAGCAGAACATTTCATTTCATTTCAGGAATTTTTAAAATCCATTATTGGTACAAGACGTGTTATCTCCCTTTATGACAAATGTCGGCAATTATTGCATACTGCACGCAGCGACCCATCTGCGTCATACTTCCCAGAATGTGACACTGCCCTGATTACCCGCCATTTAAAACGCTCACGTGATCATTTTGGGGCGGGACTTATCGACTAGACACCGTTCTGTTTAGACAACAGAGTAAAAATAACCCAAGCACGTGTGTTTTATGTAAACACGCCATGTCGCTGACACTCGCGTAAAAGCGATATATAATATGTGCTATGGGTAATATTGCAATAAATTCTTTACCATTGTAAACTGTCTTTAGAGTTTCAATCTGTTTATCTTTCAAAACAAGGTTAGATACTCCTAAATTTGTTTTCGCAAACAAAACCGCCTCTGTGAAATTATGTTTTATGGGCGCCGCCATATTGAATAATTAGAGGACTATTTTGTGATTCGGCTTTGATTAGTTTGACATCTTTCATACACACAGCGGCTAAATAAACATATTTAATTTCATTCAATATGACAATAGAAGAGAAATAAATACTTTTAAAAATTTCTAAAAGCATACTCAGTGTTTTCGACTAAAATCGTCGATGTAGGAATTAAAATGTCGGTTAATTAGCTTAGGGCCTATTCTCAGCCGGAGCTAGCTGTAGATAGGCAGCCTAAGTTTGGGATGCAATTATTGAAAACAGTATTTCTATCACGTTCCACACTGATCCGCAGTGAATATTCGCAGGCTACTACAATCACTGAGAGGGGTGACATCGATGCGACTTAATAAGCCCCCAATATTAACTTTTTTCCTTCTGCAATTGAATCCTAGAACATATTGTTGAAAGATGAGAAAAATATATAAAAGTGGGCCTACCAGTTAAAGATGGGTTTCCGCGTACAAACTGGGTGATTTAATGATATATATGGACCGAAAACATATTCAAACTAATTAATTTGTCATAATTATGCTTCAAATCCTTCTCAAACATTGTAATTGCGAAGGAATGCCCTGCTATTAAAATTCGATCAAACCAGGCCATGTTTACGTCACGTCTTGGGAGTCAGAGGAGAATTCATTGCATATGTGGTAGTGTATATTTGTGTATATTTGTATTTATTGTATCTTGAATATTTGTTGTATTATTGTCCCTTTAATATATTAGTTATTTATGGTATATTTGGTGTTCGTTGTATTGTCCCTTTAATAGTCCATCTCTAAGCTGGTTAAGAATATCTTTACAACAGCAAGTCTAAACTCTACTCACTTTTAACTCACTAAAATAACCACATCTCAGCTTCTCTTTCAAATCTCACTTGCAACTTAACCTTGTTACAAGGAGGATCACATTCTGTCACTTGGTAAGTTTTATATTTATTTGACTGACTTTAATATTTTATCTATTTAATATGGTAATGTAATTAGAATAAATTTATATATGAAATAATTAAGTTATTAGTATATTTCTATAAGTATTTCCATAAGTATGTTTGTGTAATTGAGAATATTCTACTCTCAGCTATTTAGTGTTAATTTATTCATAACCTTAATTTCAGTCTTTGTGTCATACTGTGTCTGTATGGTAGCCATATTTAAGACATCAACCCTATTATAAACTCCTATTTTATAGGGTATGTATATGTATTTGTATGTAATTGTATTAGTTAAAACTCATTGTAAATATCTTATTTATTCCTTTGTTTCAAATCAATTTTTTCCCGCTACTATTTTAAATATATATATAGTGTAAACTATTACTATTCTTGATTTTTATACATTTCTTTATGTCTTTCAGAGTTTTTTTTATATGTATACTAAATTGATGATCCACAATAAAATCCTGAACCCATGACCTGGTGTTTTGTTCGTCTTTGTGAATAGAACCCTGCTACACATACATAAGACGATGTTGTCTTTAATCGCTTACTATTTATTACAAATATCGAATCCTAATTAAATTCTCGGATTATCCACTACCCGCGTCTTTTTCCGTCATTTTGATCTCAGAAAGTATTGTACGTTTAACTCTTCATAAAGTTTATCAACTTGTACATCAAGCGCTCAATGTTCGCTTGTGACCTTTGACATCACGCGTGCAGAAGTTCTTAATCGTCGGGCTGTTGATTAGGGGAACCCTTACATTTTTGTCCTGTATACGCTCCATGAGTGTTTTTCGGGGAATCCAGTATTTTTCTAGTAAGATTGGATATCTCTACTTTCCATATATACCAAAATTACCATACTTGATTGGAAATAAACACCCGATAACAACATTTCTGGAAACCCATCTTTAATATGAACGATATCTTAAATTGTCGCCTATACATTTAATGTGATTGTGTCTTGTATTGTCGTATAACATTGGGGTATTCCCCCTTTCTATTGACGACATACAATAGTTCCGTTCATTGGTTATTCTTGCAATATAATGTTACTATATTAATGACGTCATTAATAACGAATAAGTTACTATTTATATACCTGATGTGTATAATCGCAGCGAGGCTGTCACGGGATTATAAGAAGGAGCTTGGGTGGCTGAATAGGGTTGGGGTGGCCTATTGGTCAAGAGTGTCGCGCTTCGATCTCTAGCTGGTCGGTCACCGTTGGTCTCTATCCCTGGTGGCTTGTGGATTGGGACGCCATCTCAACCTCATGAGCTTACTCCGGGAGCTCCGGTTTCCTCTCACGGGAAAGACCATATTGCGCGTGCGGTAAGATAATAAAAAACGAAAGAAAATAAGACAAGTTCGATGGAAGCGGACGTTAAACACTAAAAAAACAACGAATAGTTGAACGCGTGCACGTTGGATTATAAGGTCTGTCATTGAGTCAAGTGGCGTGGTTTCGATTCTCCGAGTCTACATGACAAGGATTGGGTTTTCTCATGTACCACATTCAACTTAAACATACATTATGCAAGAGCAAAATCTGCTTATTACAAGTCTTTCTTTAGGCCTGAAATGGTATCTAAATTATCAATTAGACATTAATTAACCTATCCAGACCATAATCAACTCTCGATGTCAAGGCTAGCCTTCGATGTTGACTGGATTAGATTCCTATATGCCGCTAACGGCCATTGATAATTAAATCAAAACAATATATAATCGGGACTATGCTGTTTATATTAATGATTTTAGTAATGATGACCGAGACTATGCGAAAATTTCACCCGCTTCGTTCTCGGCTCATAGTGTATCAATTTGACTGAAATTTTCAGCAAATTACCTTTACACTATCTAGTTTTTAACTATTATAGCGAGAACTGCCATCTCTTTATCTTATCTCCCATAATGTATCTTTAAAGTATATATTATAATATCTAAAATATACATACCGGTACCTAAACCCATGCTACATCACAATTATACGTATACCAAATTATGCTCAAATTTCATGATAAGTCAAATTATATATTCAAATTGCATGATATTACCGTACACCAAATCATATGAAGAAGAAGAAGAAATGGGGTTTAACGTCCTACTGTTCTGCTCCTTTTCTGGGCTAATGAAGACGGGCATACGCCATACAGTGTGCTATGAGGGAAATTTTGCCCGGACAGCGGCACTATCGCCTACTCTTATATCGAATTCCAACTGCCAGGACCAAATCATGATAATACAATTATATTATATGTTACTATACTCATATTATATGTATTTACACTCACGTAAAGTAAATACCAATTGCAAATTACACCAAATTATATGTAATTGTTTAGTTCTATGAAAGGCGTCCTGTTTAATATATTGAAGTGTTTAAACAAATGGGTGACAACGAGAAATCGGCTAAATAGGTATTTTGCAAGATTCAACTTTCTTAGACTAACTCACAGACAGTTCTTGCCACCATCAATTGCTGAAATTATGGTACTATCGTCCAGTCATCTGGTGCACAGATTAGTCCAATTAAATAGAATAATGTTGACGTAAAACGAAACACCCAAATATGGTAATTGTCCCGCCCTAATAGCTGACACATCATCTATACTTTCTATATAAGAAAGGGCGAGAATAAATTTCCCTTCAGACATCATTTAGAGATCCTAGGAGAAACATCATTCGGAGTTACTAGGGGAACATCACACCCTCGAGGGAATTATTAGTGAACAGAAATTCGCCCATGTATCTGTCGTCACCCGACACTTCTGTCAGTTACATAGAGGGATAATTGGTGTTTTCTTTTTGCATTCGTCACTTCCGATTATTCAAGCATTGATTAGCCTACGCATCTATCGTAGCAATGATCTCTGTGATAAAATAATATTTGGAACGTGTTTTACCAGTTCTATCACATATGTGATAATGACTGGCACCAATATTGTCCTTTAATGTTTAATTAATAATTTAGAAAACATTTCAGGCCTAAAAGCTGCAATAGGCAGATTTAGCTCTGGCATAATGTGTGTTTAATGGCAATACACTCAAATTATATCCCTTTCTGCCTGGATTATTGAATACTTCCACTAATTATTGCTTATTCTTACAATTCATTGTTAAAAGATGCATTATGCAAGAGCTAAATCTGCCTTAAAATTTAGGCCTGAAATATTTTCTAAATTATTAATTAGACTCGTATTAACAGGGCCAAATCGGATGCTCACGATTTTCAATGGGTTGAAACAAGATCGTCGTTTAATAATTGAATTAAAAAATGTATAATCGAGACTTGGTTTACTATCATACTTTATTTAATATTTCCGTCTTTATTACTCACATTAGCCCAGTCGGAGAAGAACAGTAGGCCTAAGGGCGTTAAACTAAACTCCATTTCGTTTCATTTATTAAATATTCATAACTGAACAAAGAAAACATGCTTCCCAGTTTGATTTTATTATTCCATAAATAGTAAACCAATTAAGCCACTTAAGTAAATCTGTATTGGACTACTTTCTTAATTGTTTATTTGCTTTACTCGGGAATTGCAGGACGCGTTTTCGGTCGTAAAATTTCCAAAGTTTTATTACTTTTAATATTAAATCACAGGCAGCCACAGCGCATGACCAGATATCACGTTACCGGGGGAAAACCAATGACGTCTGTACTGACGTCATTGGGAAAACCGTAAGATCGTGTTGAAATTGTATCGTGACGAATAAGACCCACACAAGTAACGAAAAGACTTTCAAGAAACGAATCATCTCTTAAGTAGAGTTGTCTACCTTTAATTGGTATCAAACGCGTATTAATATTATTTCATCCAATTAAACTTGATTATTAGCCTTTATCATGCGATATAGAATATAATTGTACTTATGAATTATCATGTTATGTACCCGTGTCCACGAGAATAACTGTTATTCTACAACGTATGTGGGAATAATAGTATAACTCTCGAACTATGTTCTGACGCGAATGGATAATATGGGTAAAGGAAGTTGTTAGTTATTTCCGCCATATGGAAAATGAATAACCAGGATGTGGAGAGCTGAATAAATATTGCTATTTATTGTCATTGTTTTTTTACAACTGGCTGAGTCCGGTGTCATGTTTTGTTAGCTTTATTTTTGTTAATTAAGTTTTTGTTTAATTGTTTTTTTCCTAAAAATGGTGGTCTCCACTAATCCTGTTTACGATGTGGTTTTTGTTGTGGAAGATACGGCGAACTTAGCAGCTTACATGGAAACACTCAAAGCCAACTACATTTTGCCAACACTGAAGTAAGTATTCTACAACTTCTCGGTCGCCGTGAACATCTTATCTTATCTATACACAGCATATTATGCATACCGGTTGCGGTATGTAGACGCAATGGGAATTCCCGACTCATTCATATTCACATGGGATGACTGATATGACTATTATGAGTCATTACTCTCAGTCTCACAATGATATGTAATAATACTCATACTGCCTGTAAGTGAAATGAAATGGGGTTTAACATCCTACTGTTCTGCTCCTAACCTGGGCTAATGAAGACGGGCATACGCCATACAGTGTGCTATGAGAGAAATTTTGCCCAGGCAGCGGCGCTACGGCCTACTCTTATATCGAATTCCAACTGCCAGGGGATCTTTTACGTGCATTCCAATATATACATGGGTCCTTGTTTTTTCGTCCCATCCGAACGACTAGACAGCTGTCCTTATCAGGGCCCTCCGTCCTGCATCACTGACAAGGGGGAACCATGCCAGAAAATCGGGATGAACTTTCTCGGCCAATGCAGGGATCGAACACCCGACCTCCAGACTAGCGAGCCAGCGTCTTACCCACTTATTCAAGTGATCCTCAAAAATGATATGTAATGATACTCATACTGCATGTCATGTATGAAAGATGAACACTAAATAAAATAAGGTACATATACATGTACATACATGTACATATAGTTAGAATTCACACTTTCAAAGACAGCACATTTGTATGCATACGGGTGGCCTGCAGTGGACTGAACGTAGTCGTGAGTCATTAATTACTCTCCCAATAATATAACAGTATAAGTAAAGTAGGACTGATGTGTTTCTTTTTAGCTACGATTGGATGCCTATAGTTTCACCTGGCGAACTTAATTTCTTTATTGATGCATGTAACATCTTAAAATTAAATAAGTTAATTTTATACTAATTAGAACTAATTAAACGTACCCAGCCCAATGTAGTAAAACCACTTTCATTTTATCTGCAAGTATTGTCAGTAAAGTTTAATCAAGCAGTGTCGCCGGGGAGACATTCCTCACGGGGTCAATCACTTTGAATTGCACATGACGTCAGAATTTTTGGACCAAACCCAACCCTAACCCTAGCACGCGTTTCCTGTCAGTGTCGCTAAAAATAAACCATCATCTCGTTTATGAACGCGAGATTTAGTCAATTAACCATGGCCGGTGTTGTGAGGAATGTCTCCCTTGTGCAAAATTTAAACGGATATTGACATTCATAGTTCGGTGGATTAGTCATGCACATCCTCCTTACCTGGTGGTTTTATGTTGGAACCGTATCTTCATTGGCTAGCTTGTACATAACATATATTTAGCCCCGCCTTCATGACGTAAAGACGTCAAACCTATTCCATATCCCCTTGACAGTGGTGCAGCACGTACATGTAGGGCCTGACAAGTACAGCTGTCTAGTTGTTTGGATGAGACGAAAAACCGAGGCCCTGTGTATACATTGGTGTGCCCGTAAAAGATCCCTTGGCAGTTTGAATCGAATATAAGAGTAGGTAATAGTGCCGCTGCTCGGGCCAAATTTCCCTGGTTGTACGTGGCAAGGAGTTGGACTGCCTGTCCAACCTTGTGGGTTTTCTCCAGTTTCCTCCCACTGCTAAAGACCCTTTAATTCAAATAAAGTTGAATCATATGTTAGTCCCGAAGTGACTTTGTTTGTGTTGAGTGGACGTTAAGCTCTCTCTTTCTTGCCACCTATAACGGTAGACCATTTCTTAATCTGATTGAATGAAAGCCAGGAGAGAATTGATCTGCCGTTCATGTAGGTTTTGTTGATGTTAGGTATCCACAGTCTTGATTCGTGCTGCGACTCAAATAGTGATTTTAATCGTGTAGTAATTGCATTGGTTCTATCAGGTCTTAACATACATGAATATTGAGGTCTGTTGTACATAGCAATCATGCGATCCTATCGTAACACATCACACGACAATGGAAACCTGACATAAACAACCAAGTGTAGACTTATCTGTTAAAAATTGGAGGTTTATTAGAAATTGTTGGAAGAATGCACGATAATGAGTGGCAACTTTAATATCCGAGGACTAATAATATACCTGTAGGCTACGTAATGTATATTAATAGATTAATCCAGGGTATTCTAGGGAAGTATTTACGCACTGTTCTTAAAAATATGAAAGCCCTGTCATACCCATTCACATACAGGATTTCAGGTATCTTGTCTGACGTGTATGTCCTTTGTCATAAATCCATACCTATACATGTATTTATTACTTCCTTGTAAGGTGTTTGCCTGTGAATATGAATAATTTTGAATGTTATATGACATGAAAGCTAATGCCTAATATAAATGTATCCGAACGTGCTCTATATTCAATCTATAGTCAGTTAAATACATATACATAGGCCTATACACTGTAACCCAGGTATCGTTTAATCTTGTGTTTCTAGCACTAATTTCTTTCACAGTCGTTTAATATCAAATCTTTGTTTAAAAATTCATAAAAACTGTTTAAAATCCCCATAAATCGTTTAATTTGTACATGTACATGTGTCCAGTTTAAAGCTGACTGATTAATTTTGATAATGAGTGTCCAATTTACAAATATTTAATTTCCTGATCACTGTTCAAAAATTAATCATTATACATCATTAATCAATTGGGTTGTTTATTTTTTAACAATGATTGAGAAATTAAACACTTGTAAATTGGACACTCGTTATCAAAATTGAATGGTCAGCTTTAAACTGGACAGAAGTACAAATTAAATGATTTTATGGTGATTTTAAACAGTTTTTACAAATTTTTAAACAAAGATTGGATATTAAACGAATGTGAAAGAAACTAGTGCTAGATACACAAGATTAAACGATACCTGGGTTACAGTGATAGTACAGGTACATACATGTATAGATGATATATTGTATATCAAGCCTGAAAATAACAATTTTAGTTGTAGGCCTACCTGACAAAATGATAAACACAAATGGAGTTGTACTGGACATTTTTAACTTTGTGTCGGTATTATTTTGGTGGTGGGGGGTTGGATGGGCGAATGGGCTGCGTGTTGCATCATAAGGTCAGTCATTGAGTCAGCTGACATGGTTACGATTCCCCGGTTGTAGGTTACAAGGAGTAGTGTTGCATGTCAACCTCGTGTTTTTCCTCCGGGTCCTCCGGTTTCCTCCCACTGCTAAAGACCCCTACGCGCAAGCAAATTATTGAAATAAAATTGAACCGTATGTTAATCCCGAAATGACATAGTTTGTGTTGATTGGACATTAAACTAACCCCATTTCTCTCTCTCGTGCCGGTAGTATAAAAATATTAATTCAAAAACTAAAAATAGGCAAATCTGTGCCAGACAAAATGATAGACATGCTGTCTATAACAGGTGCTCTTATTTCCAGGCTTGTAAATGTACCGTATATTTTAATTTATGTATTTTTGTTTATGTTGATTGTACATTGTATCGCATATGATATGGGCGGGGCAACAGACGCTATCGTTTGATTGTCAGTTGTTTGCATAACTTGGAGTAAACGGGAATTGTTGTTTCTCTTTTACCGGTAGTCAGGATTTAAGTCGTGAGTAGCTGATCATGATAAATTATTTCTACAGGTATTATTTAATTTGTTTATCATCAAAACCGATTCATTTATCACAGACACTTACTCACAAATTTAACAGGATGTAATAGACGGCCATGTTTGTTGTGGGCGGGACTTTAATGACAATTTCACTACCATACGAGCAACAGAATTACAGCTAAAAGTTATGCAATAATGCAATTGCATATTATTATTAATATAAACAAATGTAACAAAAACAATTTATTTCATAAAGAAATATAATTATATAAAGCTTGATACGGCTAAATATCGGTAATTATTATAACTGTAAACAATAGAGTTTGACCTAGTTACTGGAGATCGCAGGTGGATTTGAGTCACGTATGCTATGGCACGAGTTTCACGGGGCGCTGGGAAAGGGTGCGCCTAAAGCACACATATTTTTTTTTCCTGAAACACCTCTGCCAAAGTCGCCCTGCGCCTTATCTACGCATGCGCCTAATACACCGAAAAATACGGTATATTTTAATTTATGTATTTTTGTGCATATACATTGTATCACATATGATTTTATTTCTGTATGATCCCTGTGTATATATATGTAGCAACTTGAAATCTAAAGTCTAACTTCATTTAAAGGCTCAATACCACTCTTGTTGTAACAGAATAATATGTCATAATCTTTATTCTGGTCAACAAATTGTACTATTTTACAGTATTTCAATTAATTGATGATACAAATTTCATCTTAACACACCTACATGTACTTTAAAAAAATGGAAAAATTCAACTAAATGATTTGAAAAGCCTAATGTAAACCTTTTCAAATGTGACTTGGATTTAAAAATATTTACGAACCCTCAGAACAAGTAAAATAGGATGTAATGGATAATTTACACAACAGGTAGGACACTTAAACATCTAATACTTAGAATAAGGCTAATATTTATTTACTGGAGCTGTCAAGCCAGCAAGAGTGTTATTGTCCCTTTAAAGATCCCCCCCCCCCCCTAACATCTACTTAGCTAATGCTTTCATTACAGATATTTTAATGGTGGGCCACCTGATTCCATTGACTATGGACATGACGTAAGTTTTACTAAATCAATATTTAAATATGGTCGTATATATTGTGGTCATTCTTCTCTGTGGTTCATGAGACGAAGGTGCTGATTGATTTTCAACAATTACCGATAAATTCTGTTGGAATTCTGGCTCTTGATCAATTTGAAAAACTTTGTTTATGCTCTAGAGACTAAAGTTATCATCCTATGTGATATTTATACATGTAGCCTAAATGTTTAACTGTATATAAAACGCCTATTGATTTTCAATGATTTCCAATAATTTTGTCGGAGGCATAGCCCATGAAAAATTCTATGGACATTCTAGTTATTCAATGAAATAATGTATGTGCACATGCATGTATGTTATAAATCGCCATAGCACATGTATATTCTAGTAGGAGGTCGGAGGGGGGGGGAGCATTAAGGGATTGCCCTTAAACATGCATTATGCAAGAGCTAAATCTGCCTATTGCAGGTCTTCTTTAGGCCTTAAATGTTTTCTAAAGTATTAATTAGACATTAATTAAAGATACATCATGGGAGATAAGATAAAGAGCTGACAGTTCTCGCTATAATAGTTAAAAACTAGATAATGTAAAGGTAAATTGTTCAAGATTTCAGTCAAATTGGTCCACTATGAACCGAGATATCAGCTTTGTAAATTTCCGCCTAGCCTCGTTCAACATTACTAAAGTTAGTACGTTAAAAAGCATAGTATCGATTATCCATTGTTTTGATTTAATTATCAATGAGCGTTTGCAGCATATAGGATTCTAATCCAGTCGATATCGAAGGCTAGCCTTGACATCGAGAGTTGATTATGGTATGGATAGGTTAATTAATGTCTAATTAATAATTTAGATAAGATTTCAGGCCTAAAGAAAGACCTGCGATAAGCAGATTTAGCTCTTGCATAATGCATGTTTAACTGATCCAGGCCTTCAGCTGTAGAGTCCAGTGATATGGTTCCACACTTATTCATGACCCATTTGATTATAATACAGATCTATGTTTCGTTTCGTTTTTTTTATACTTTCAATGGCCTACACTACATGAAGATCTGACAAGTTATAGCGATAGGTCACGTCAGGGGTCAAAGGACCGACTTTTGACCTATGACGTCAGACATTTGATTAACCAATCAGCATTGATGTTACTAGTGGATTACCCATAGTTCCGGGCAAAAAAGGTCAAACACTCGATTCGACAGACCATTTGATTGGCTGACACCTCATTTCAAGCAGAACACGAGTTAAATAACAAGTCTTCCAGATCCAACCAAGTGTGGTAAAGACAAGTAAAACGAAATTTTGAACTATAAAAACGAAACGAAATAGGATCTGTGTTTTAACCAGATTGATTCATGACAAGGAATACATGCAGGGTGGCCTGCCCAACCCTGTGAGTTATCTCTGGCTACAAGCAACTGAATTACTGAAATAGAGTTCTACATGTACATTGTACATTGTATAGTTCCCAAAATGACTGCTTGTATTAATGGAGTTTGAATTTTAAGCCCCATTTATTTCGATCTCCCTCTCCGTGTATGAGAACGGCAGTATACATGTACTGTTAGATGGTTATAGATCCCCGATAATAAGTTCTTTATTGTATATTTGGGGGTTGAATGGCCGAATGGTTAGCGCGTGCATGCTGTATCATAAGGTCTGTCATTGAGTCAACTGGCGTGGTTTCAAATACATGTACGTGACAAGGAGTAGGGTTGCCTGTCCAACATCGCGGGTTTTCTCCGGTTTCCTACCACTGCTAAAGACCCCTACGCGCAAGCAAATTATTGAAATAAAATTGAACCGTATGTTAGTCCCGAAATGACCTACTTTGTGTCGAGTGGACTTAACCCCGTTTCTCTCTCTCTCTCTCTCTCTCTCTATTGTATATAACATGTATTCAACAGTTTAACTATATTCTGTATGTTTTGTTTTATATATTATTCAACAGTTCAGCTGTAGCCTATGTTTTGTTTTTTATATTATTCAACAGTTCAGCTGTAGCCTATATGTTTTGTTTTATATATTATTCAACAGTTCAGCTGTAGCCTGTATGTTTTGTTTTATATATTATTCAACAGTTCAGCTGTAGCCTATATGTTTTGTTTTATATATTATTCAACAGTTCAGCTGTAGCCTATATGTTTTGTTTTATATATTATTCAACAGTTCAGCTGTAGCCTGTATGTTTTGTTTTTTATATTATTCAACAGTTCAGCTGTAGCCTGTATGTTTTGGTAACATATAACAGTGGTGATTCAATGTCATCGCTATCTGCTAACTGTACCAGACCTACAACTAGTATACATGAATTTACAACATGGCTCGATGGAACTGAGTAAGTATTTCTAGCACAGAACATCTGTTCATTTTTTATGGACTGAAAAATGTTAATTTGATGAGATGAATGACAAAATAGATGTATATAGCTATAATTACCAGTTATCAAATTACAGGGGCCTGCCCCACGTCAGAAAATCCTGATGAACTTTCTTTGCGTGCATGTAAAAGATCCCTTGGCAGTTGGAATTCGATATAAGAGTAGGCCATGGTACCACCGCCCAAGCCAAACTTCCCTCATAGTACACTGCGTGGCGTTAGCCCATCATCAGTAGCCCAGTAGGATGTATAACTCCATTTCATTTCATAAGTGTGCACTTTAGATCATAAATGAAATGAAATGGGATTTAACGTCCTACTGTTCTGCTCCTATACTGGGCTAATGAAGACGGGCATACGCCATACAGTGTGCTATGAGGGAAATTTTGCCCAGGCAGCGGCACTATCGCCTACTCTTATATCGAATTCCAACTGCCAAGGGATCTTTTACGTGCATTCCAATGTTTACACGGGACCTCGGTTTTTTCGTCTCATCCGAAAGACTAGACAGCTGTCCTTGTCAAGACCTCCGTCCTGCATCACTGACAAGGGGAAACCACGTCGAAAAATCGGGATGAACTTTCTCGGCACTTTAGATTATAAGGTCTGTCGTTGAATCAAGTTGCGTGGTTCAGATTCCCTGCTTACAGTATATGTCTAGGAGTAGGGTCTCCTGTTCAACCTCGTGCGTTTCCTGTGGTTTGGGGGGTTGGATGGCTGAATGGTTAGCGTGTTTCGAATCCCCGGTTGTACGTGACAAGGAGTAGGGTCGCCTGTCCAACCTCGTGGGTTTTCTCCGGGTCCTCCGGTTTCCTCCTACTGCTAAAGACCCCTACGCGCATGCGAATTATTGAAATAAAATTAAACCATATGTTAGTCCCGAAATGACCTAGTTTGTGTCGAGTGGGCGTTAAACTCCATTTCTCTCTATCCCTTTCCTGTGGTTTCCTCCCACAACTAAAGGCCACTATGCACAAGGGAATTATTGAAGTAAAAATTAACCAAACATGTATGTTAGTCTTGAAATGTGTTGACGTTAAACTTCATTTTTCTGTCTCTCTGGGTTTGTTGTTCATGACTTAAACATACATTATGCAAGAGCTAAATCTGTCTATTGCAGATCTTTTTTTAGGCCTGAAATGTTATCTAAATTATTAATTAGACATTAATTAACTTATCCAGACCATAATCAACTCTTGATGTCATCGCTAGCCTGCGATATTTACGGGATTAGGATCCAATTTGCTGCTCAACTTTCATTCATCATTTAATCATGAAATGGATAATCAAGACTGTTTTTTATAGTATGGACTTTAGTAATAAACTTAAGTAATAATGATCGGGGCTAGGCCAAAAAATGTGGTCGTATATTGTCGTCGCCCCCGTCCGTCCAGCCGTCCGGCGTCCACAAGCAAGCTAAAGTTAATATCCGATTGACTTTAAATTTATACACAGTGTTTAAGGTCATGAGACAAAGAATCCTATTGATTTTCAGCGATTTCCGATAATTACTGCCAGAGTTATGGCCCTTGATCACTTAAAAAAATCTTGTGGACGCTCTAGAGGTCAAAGTTAATATCTGATTGACTTTAAATTTATACACAGTGTTTAAGGTCATGAGACATAGAATCCTATTGATTTTCAACGATTTTTGATAATTACTGCCAAACTTATGGCCTTGATCACTTTGAAAAATCTTGTGACGCTCTAGAGGCTAAAGTTATCATCCAATTGACTTCAGATTGATAATTACTTCATGAGTTGTTACTCTTAATCAGATTTTAGTGTATTATAAATGTTTCATTACCCAAAAAAGTAAAAAATAGGCAACAACACTTGTTGACTGCCCAGACGATTTAGCTGCTGTAGGCGTATGTTTCATTGCCTGGCAACCTCTCTTTAACTATTATAGTGAGAACTGCCAGCTCTTTATCTAATTTCCCATAATGCATCTTTAATAAGAAATACTTTTTACCATCAATGACCTTATTAGTCTGGATGATTTAGTCTCATATAGTCTTGTACATCATCCATAAAAATTAAGGATAAAGCAGAATTTCATTTATCTTCAATAAAGTATATAACACATTTTTTTCTAATTCATGTTGTATTTTTGTTCAGGTTTTTAGGCGGAGCTGGTCAGAGTAGTAGCCTGTTAGCGGAAGGTTTGAGTACAGCCTTGCAAGTATTTGATGATATTAAAACCCGAAGACATGAAAGGTGTGTGTAACAGTTTTGTGAGAATGACAATATGGGATGGGTTTCGTTTTTTTTTTATTATTGATGTCGCATTAAATTTGTAAGGTGATTTCCAAGATATTGCCGTTGATCAGGTTGAAAAGTCTTAAGTTATAAGGGAGGGTGGATGGCTAAATGGTTAGCATGTGCGCACTGTATCATAAAGTCTGTCATTGAGTCAACTGGCGTGGTTTCGATTCCCCGGTTATACGTGACAAGGAGTAGGGTCGCCTGTCCAACCTCGTGGGTTTTCTCCGGGCCCATTTCATTTGCCCGGGAGGGTCGTTAATTGAAGTGTGTTATTGAATCAAATGGTGTGGTTTTGATTCCCAGGTTGTATGTGACAGGGGGTACGGTCGCCTGTACAACCTTGTGGGTTTTCTCCAGGTCCTCCTGGTTTTCTCCCACTGGTAAAGACCCCTAAGCCTATGCAAATTATTAAAATAAAATGGAACCATACGTTAGTCTTAAAATGACCTGGTTTGTTTGAAGTTAATGTTAAGCCCCATCTCCCTCTCTCCCTAGCTTATTATTGTTATTATTTTACTTGTTGTTTGATGAATTCGTCATATGTTTTTTATTGTTTATTTCAGTGTTATCAGTCAGAAACATTGTATTTTGTATTGTTTATTTCAGCATTATCAGTCAGAAACATTGTATTTTGTATTGTTTATTTCAGCATTATCAGTCAGAAACATTGTATTTTATTGTGTAACTCTCCTCCATACCATCTTCCGAGTCAAGAAAGTTTTAATTATTCTGGTTTATATAGTAATCAGATAGCGGCAATGATGGCAAAGGTATTTATACTATGTAACCTTTTCTGGTTAATCCCGATTGATTTTGTTATGTAGTAATGTACTGGTTGATGATCGGTCATAATTTGGGACAGAAATTTGCGCTGAGAATGGTAGTGTTTGAGTGGGGTCTAATCAAACGAAATACTGTGAGGAATGTGGTTATAAGAGCCTTTATCTGTTTCCATATAGGCCTGTCATTGAGTCAGCTGGCATGGTTTTGAATCCCCGGTTGTATGTGACAAGGAGTAGGGTCGCCTGTCCAACCTTGTGGGTGTTCTCCGGTTTCCTCCCACTGCTAAAGACCCCTACGTGCAAGCGAAGTATTGAAATAAAATTAAACCATATGTTAGTCCCGAAATGACCTAGTTTGTGTCGAGTGAGTGCCGCTGTCCGGGCCAAATTTCCCCCACAACACACTGTATGACGTATGCCCGTCTTCATTAGCCCAGTAGGACGTTAAACCCCATTTTATTTCTATTCATGTTATATATTCAGCCCTGGGATTTTAGTCTTGATTGCCAGCCATATACATGTTTTTGCCAGCGGGAAAATGACGCGTTTCTGTGGGCGATTTTCTGTTTGTATATCCATTTGTACAGAAAAACCGCTGAAAAGTTTGGGGAATTTCTTGTTAATGACGTCATAGATGAGAATTTTCTCTTTACAACGTGGAGGCTGAGATTGGCTGACATTGTTAACGTGCAATTGCCGCTTTTTGCAGAAACAAAAGCGGTTAATTGACTTTGTGGAAGAGAAACTTTGTTTTTTTAACTCCAGCGAAAAAGTTGCCGAAACGCTTACATTGAAACGTTCCCATTATATTTGCATCATACCGACTTTTTTCACCAGCCGAAATGCCTACATGGATCGCTGGTCTTGATCTTGCTGCTTACCACATCTGGGGCCTTAAATTATTCAAGAAACTTTAAACTAAGATTTTCTAAAAGATCCAGCCTTTTCATTGGTGGGTGGGGGGTGGATGGCTGAATGGTTAGCGTGCACGCGCTGTATCATAAAGTCTGTCATTGAGTCGACTGGCGTGGTTTCGAATCCCCGGTTGTACGTGACAAGGAGTAGGGTCGTCTGTCTTATTGAAATAAAACCATATGTAAGTCCCGAAATGACCTAGTTTGTGTCGAGTGGACGTTAAACCCCATTTCTCTCTCTCTTTCTTTTCATTGGTTGAGCAGTGGGAGGAAACCGGAGGACTCGGGGGTGGGGGAGGGGAAAACCCACGAGGTTGGACAGGCGACTGAATAAACATACGCTTGTATAAATCTTGTTTTGTTTTATTTTAGAGAGGCATCAACCTGTCAATCATCTCACCTAGAAAAATCCCAGCCTTACAGGAACTGTTCGAAGAGGTAAGTCAGGATTTTAGGGTACTGGGCTCTCATTAAAAATGTCTTTTGAAAGTCTGCAAAGATGTTTGGGTGGGGGAGCTATCTCAAGGGCGGTCCATGTGCACATAAAATAATCATTGACAGTGAAACAAAGATTTGATATTAAACGAATGTGAAAGAAATTAGTGCTAGATACACAAGATTAAACAATACCTGGGTTACAGTGTGAAATACTGTACCAATAAGAAGGCTGTAAATGCTGCTCTCCAGGCAAATATTTCCTTGCTTAGTACATAATATTCATTGATGGTTATTGCCACTGCAGTCTCGATATGGTACCTACACTGTAATGTGATTCAGGTGCTACGATACGATTCATATCACGATTCATAACTAGGTCAGTATTTACCAAGAAAACAACAGGATAAATGAATAATTGACATATTTAGTACTGCCATTGTTGAAGAAATAAAACTGTTTTATTTTACAATATTGATGTGGATCAAAATAAAGACCAGAATAATTTAGAGAGTGTTTGTGTACTTTCAGCTCTTTATCTGATCCTACCTAATTCCCCTTTAAGCACTGTTCCTTACACAACGAACAAAGTCTGTACATTTTAAACAGTAGATATATCAAAATTAGTTTATCTTCTTGCTCATATAATTATTTATATCTTTGTTCTGTTTACAGGCGTCATCCCCAGATCTGGCCTATTTACCCCATAAAGACTATACGATAGATCCTAGGCATATGGTTTTATTGCATGGATATCAACTCGAAGGTAAGCATTGTCTGTTGTATCTATGGCACTCTGGTTTAATCTGTTTATCAACGTGGAATGACTCTCTTAGCCAAGCCTGGGCATAAAGCATCTGCCACAGACAAGTAGGACACAAATTATCACACAACATATGGGTCATTCCATGTCAAATCACCCAATGGGTTAAACCCCACCTCCTTGGATTTTCATGAAATTTTATGTACATGTTTATATGGTGTGGTAAAGCTGATTTCCTAAATTGTATCCCATTTTCACAAATTTCGGTCACCCATAGCAACCAAACCGTTCCAATTTCGTTAAAATTTAGGAAATCAGCTTTACCACCCCACATAAACATATACATAAAATTTCATGAAAATCGAAGGAGGTGGGATTAAAATTTTTAATTTTTTGGGGTGATCTAACACGGAATGATATTTTGTGTATGACAATGTCTGTGACAGATGCCTTATGTCCAGACTTGTATACGTACATTGTGCAATAAATTGTAGTTGACAAAGTCTGTAACAAGTTGCTTATACCACGGCTGGCATTTAATCCACTTTATACACAGGTGTTTATATAATGAAAAATTTGTCATTTGGTTTAAGCAATGCTCCTGCCAAATTTTAATGAATGTCACTGGTGGAAATATTTATTAGTTCATTAAAGGAAAATCTCTTTAAGGTCACTGATTACACATATTGCAAGCAATATCTAATTTCATATTCCTAAATGCCCACTAAAATGTACTCAAATTGATTATTTAAAATTCAATTTAGAAAACAAAACCAAAGTATCAAAGCTAGATAATCTCCCGTTTATATTCAATCGGAATAAAATGTGGCTTAACTAGTTCATTTCAGGACTAACATATGGTTGAATTTTATTTCAATAATTCGCTTGCTCATATAGGGGTCTTTAACAGTGGGAGGAAACCGGAGGACCCGGAGAAAACCCACAAGGTTGGACAGGCGACCGTTTAACCGGGGAATCGAAACAACGCTAGTTGACTGAATGACAGACCTTGTGATAAACCGCACACATGCTAACAAAAATTAAGATGCATCATGCCTTTGTAAATAGTGAAGAGAAGCTTTAAGATAGAAAAAGTATTAATAATAAAACAAAAAAATCAAAAAATCTGAAAAAACTTTAAGCTATACATTATATCATCTATTAAGTTTGTGTCTTGTGGTAAGCAAGGTGTCCAGTACAGAACAATGGGTGATGGCCTAAATGAGCTTTATTTTTATCCATCTTGCAGAACGATCTCACAGTCCAAGTTTAGAGGATGAAAAGCAGACGTCTGAATTTATCAAATTAAACATAGGTAAGACAGAAGGTTCTGATTGGTTGATTCCAGATCAACCTAGCAATCAAAACCTGTGGTACTGAAGGAAAGATATATATGTTCGACTTAAAAACAAAAATCGTTCAGAATGAAGGGAAATATGAGTTTTTTTCTTGTTGTTCCATTTTATTTTTCAGTTGTTTGCTTCATTTATTTAAAGGGAGACACATTTAGTAGGTTGTGATTGGTTGATTCCAGATCACCAACTACCAATCAGAAAATTCAACTAAATCTTTCAAAAAGCTTTAATTATTGAAACAAAGCTCAAAGTTATTACATTCCCAGAATGCGAGAGAGAGAGAGAGAAATGGGGTTTAACGTCCACTCAACACAAACTAGGTCATTTCGGGACTAACATATGGTTTAATTTTTATTGCTCCTGTTTGCTCACTACACTTATTATTTTAACGTTTTCTGATTAACGCCCTTTTGTAAAGTATTTGATTTTTTGATCACTGTTAAAAAATAAACAACCCAGTTGATTATTGATGTATAATGATTGATTTTTGAACAGTGGTCAGGAAATTGAATATTTGTAAATTCGTCACTCATTATCAAAAATGAATGGTCAGCTTTAAACTGCACGCAAGTACAAATTGGATGATTTTTGGTGATTTTAAATGCTGGTTACAAATTATTAAACAATGATTTGATATTTAACGAATGTGAAAGAAATTAGTGCTAGATACACAAGATTAAATGATACCTGGAGTATAGTGTTTGCTGTTGGTTGGTGTATATAGGAGAATGAGAAGCTAACTGTTTAAGGTATTGTAGCAGCCCCTTGTATATATTTCCTTTTTATACCTGAACATGAATATCATATATTTACAGGTAGTCAAGGCCCTAACAGTGTTAGTTCTACAGGATTTAATGTAGATGGTGGCTTTAAGGTGCCAAGTACAGCTCTATCGTCACAAATGAGTAAGTTCAATACATGAGTTTTATTTTTTTATTTTGAGAAACAGTTAGATTTGTATCATGAAAGACTGAAATGACTGGGCTAATGAAGACAGGCATACGCCATACAGTGTGCTATGAGGGAAATTTTGCCCGGGCAGCGGCGCTACGGCCTACTCTTATATCGAATTCCAACTGCCAAGGGATCTTTTACATGCATGCCAATGTGTAAACGTGACCTCTGTTTTTCGCCCCATCCGACAACTAGTCACCTGTCCTTGTCAAGCCCTCCGTCCTGCACCAGTAAACAAGGGGAAACCATGCCGGGAAATCTGGATGAACTTTCTCGGCCAATGCAGGGATCAAACACCCGACCTCCAGGCTAGCGAGCCAGCGTCTTACCAACTAGCCATCATGATCCCCCATCATGAAAGATTAGTAATTAGGTTAAGGAACTGATTAATTAACCCGGTATCATTTAAACTGCCCCAAACCGCCCTGTCACATGCAAAGCTGTGGTGTCCCCACAAACTAGTACTTGGTCCTTTAAAGCAGAAAGCTATTCACATAATATCTCAGGCTGGTTGATTTTGAGGCAGTCTAAGAAACAACTGTTTCCCTCAGTCCAGGGATGTATCGGTATTGATATCACTCTTCTCTAATCTTCCTGGGTGGGGGTGGAGGTGGGTCGCTGAATGGTTAGTCCGTGCACGTTATATCATAAGGTCTGTGATTATTCAACTGGCGTGGTTTCGATTCTCCTGTTGTACGTGACAAGGAGTAAGGTCCTATGTCCAACCTTGTGGGTTTTCTCCTTGTCCTCCCTTTTCCTCCCACTGCTAAAGTCCACTATACGCAAATGAATTATTGAAATAAAATTGAACCATGTTAGTCCGAAAATGACCTAGTTTGTGACGAGTGTACCCCCCCTCTCTCTATCTCTCCCTTCCTTCCCTCCCCCTCATCTTTTCGTTTTAATATATCTAAATTGGTTGTTATTACAGTTTCTACCAGCCAACAGCCATCCCCTCAACAAGCTCAATTATCTCCCCTTAACATCCAGAATCAGCCATCACCCGTTATGGTACAACAAGTACAACCTCAACAACCGGTAAGTAAGAACATTCATAGAAAATGTCTGCAAAAACACATTGTTAAATCTGAATTCTCAGATTGGAAATCAACCTTTTTTCTCATTGCCTCTCGACAGGGATATAAAGTCTGAGTTTAACTTTGTATTTATGGATTTAGAATTTAGAACCTATAGTTTAACACACCGTACACTGCTGTTCTAAGCTTTCTACAGGTCAATCACGTAATTTGAGTTTTTCGCTTTCATATTTTTTGTTTATTATTATTTACAGCAGAAGAAAGATCCGCCACCTAATGTGATGTTAGGTAAGTCTTGTTGGTTGAAACATCATCATTAATAAATTTTATATCTCAATTAGATTAAAACACCATCAGTAAAAAAAACCTGACGCTAAAATATACTCAAATTATCCATGGCTTAGCTAACATGTAATGAAATTGATATTGATGATTTGTGTTTGTGGGTGGGGGGGGAGGGTCTGAATGGTTAGCGAGTGTGCGCTGTATCATAAGGCCTGTCATTGAGTCAAATGGCATGGTTTTGAATCCCTGGTTGTACGTGACAAGGAGTAGGGTTATCTGTCCAACCTCATGGAGTTTTTCCAGTTCCTCCAGCTTCCTCCCACTGCTAAAGACCACTACGCGCAAGCAAATTATTGAAATAAAATTGAACCATATGTTATCCCAAATTGACCTACTTTGTGTCGATTGGACTTTAAACCCCATTTCTAACCCAGCATTTTAATTAAGAAAACAATATCGAAGGTGTATAATCTTCCGGGTTGGATTCAATCAGATGAAGAAAGGTCTCCCTTTCAAAAGATTCACCGAAACTCATAGTTGACACTATATCGTGTATAGTGTTTCCTTTTCAATGCCATATATTGTCCGTCTTCATTGGTCCAGTTAGAGCAGAACAATATGGCTGGCGTTAAACCCCATTTCATTTCATTTCGCCATACGTTGACAAAATTTTATTTCATAATATCTTTGAAAATACTGAAAGGAATTGAACCATTTCTGTACTGATATTCGTGTTAGAGATTCAACTTTCACAGTATCGCAATCTGATTAAAATACAAATCTTTATTTTGTTTCGTTTTTATACTTTCTATGGCCTACACTACATGAAGATCTGACCGGTTGTAGCGATAGGTTGCGTCAGAGGTTATACGAGCAGCTTTTGACCCTATGATGTCAGACATTTGATTAATCAATCAGCATTGATGTTGCCACAGTTCCGTGCTAAACATGCCTAAAGCTCGCCGTAACAGACCGTTTCATTTGCTATTACTTCACACTATTCAGAACACGTCAATGATAACAACTCTTCCAGATCCTAGCGTAGTCAAGACAAGTAAAACAAAATTTTGAAGTATAAAAACGAAGCGAAATAGGATCTGTGTTTTAATCAGATTGACAGGGGATTAAAAAGCTCTCCGGTGAAGTTCAGAGACTTGTCTTCGATATCACATTCGATGGAAGAGGACATAAAACTCGGGAGCGAACGAACAGTCAACGACTTGAATTATAATTAGTGACAATCAGCAACTGGAAAATGGAAGAAAAAAAAAAATCTAAAATAGAGATATTGTATAGGACTCAATTTTATTGTTTGATTTTTCAGCTGGTCAAAGAACGAATATCTCACAGCAGAGCAACATAGCTCAGATGCGACAGCAGCAGCAACAACAACAGCAACAGCAACAAAATATTGCCACATCGCAACAAAATGCTGTTTCACAACAATTAGTAACATCACAACCAAATATGGTGTCTGTCTCCTCTAATAACCAGACCATGAATCCAATGATGAACGCCCCCAATCTATCACAAGGCATGAATATCCAGTCTTCTAATGCTAGTATTATGGCGTCTCAACCTTCGTTATCCTTGCCTTCAAGTCAGCCAGGTATGTTCTCTTATTTTCAGGGAGGTTGGATGGCCGAATGGTTAGCACATGCGCGCTGTATCATAAGGCCTGTCATTGAATCAACTGGCGTGGTTTCGAATCCCCGGTTGTACGTGACAAGGAGCAGGGTCGCCTGTCCAACCTCGTGGGGTTTCTCCAGGTCCTCCAGTTTCCTCCCACTGCTAAAGACCCCTATGCGCAAGCGAATTATTGAAATAAAATTGGACCATATGTTAGTCCCGAAATGGCCTAGTTTGTGTCGAGTGGATGTTAAACTCTCTCTCTCTCACTTTATCAGTCAAGATTCAGAGGTTCTATGGCATTGGAGTGCCTTTAAAAACAATCACTGTTTGACATCATTGCATTATGTAACAACAGAGCCATTACGGCATTATGACAATAAGCTCACATTCACAAGCCACAAGTGAATAAAAATGAAGCTGTTTCTGGGTAAAAATTTCCTCAAAGCACAAACCATATTGCCCTTATGGTTTAAAAATTGTGTAACAAAAACTCTCATTGCTTTTTTTCTGTCTGAAAAGTTCAGTTTTTATACGGCCACATTTTCATGTGGACGTATATTGTCGTCGCCCCTGTCCGGACGTCCGTCCGTCCACAATTGTTTGTGGACACTCTACAGGTCACAATTCTTATCCGATTTTGACGAAACTTGAAATATAGGTTTATCTCCAAAAGATCTTGGCTGCTTGTGCACCCTTGTGGACCCTATGGAGGTCACAATTTTAATCCGATTTTGTTGAAACTTGAAATGTAAGTTTATAACCCAAAGATCTTGGTTCTTTTCTATATTTGCACATATCGAATTGTAATTTCCTGAATTATGGCCCTTGATTGTAGGCAAAAACAATTTCTTTTTAGCTTGTTCTCTATCCATCTCTCGAAAATGTGGGCGTATCCTGCCTGGCAGCCGCTGGTTAATTTAAAATGTGTGTGTTAAATTTCAGGAATGGTAATGAACCAGGCTCAACAGCAACAGCAGCAACAACAACAACAACAACAGTTTAATATGAATACAATGACTGGTCCCTCATCAGCCCCTAATACCATGCCTGTATTCAACAACCCTAACGATCTGGCCAACCAGCAACAGATGTCTCAACAACAACAACCTGGTCAACAACAGGTGAACAAACGAATGATCTGGAAAGGGGTATTAGAATATCAGGAAAAACCACAGAAAATCTCACGATCTTTGTCCTGCTACGTGACGCTTGGACCAACAGATGCTGATGTGTAAGTTTATTACTTATTTTATCTTGTCTTTGACAGTTGGACAGGAGGGATGAAGTTGTTTTGTGTTGCTCTCGCATGTTCTGTTGACACAGTTAAGCATATTTTGATTTGAGTGCAAACATCTCCAATACATAATGCCGGGGGGTGGTGTGAATGGCTGAATGGTTAGCATGTGCGCGTTGTATCATAATGTCTGTCATTAAGTCAACTGGCAAGGTTTCAATCTAGTCATTTGGATGGAATGAAAAACCAACATCCTGTGTACACATTGGCGTGTTTGTAAAAGATCCCTGGGCTGTTTGAATTTGATATAAAAGTAGGCTGTAGCGCAGCTGTCTTGGCTAAATTTCCCTCATAGCCCACTGTATGGCGTATGCCCGTCTTCATTAGCTCTGTTGGAGCAGAACAGTAGGACGCTAAACCCCATTTCATTTCATATTGTTTAATTTGTACTCTACAGGAATGCCAATAATTGGCCGAGTAAACTATTGATGCAGTTGCTACCACAAAATATGTTGTCGGAATTAACGGGGCTGTTTCGTAATTCACGTCAAGTATCGTTCAACTTTAGTCCTAACGATATGGAAATACTTCGATCTCTTTATAAAATCATGGGAAATGGATTTGTAAGTTGTTTTTTGTTATTATTAAAGTTGAGTTTTGTTATTTTGTTATGGGGGGTCGAGATTTGTTAAGTTGTTGTTATATGGCTGAATCCCCGGTTGTACGTGACAAGGAGTGGTGTCACCTGTCCAACCTCGTGTTTTTTTTCTGGGTCCTCCGGTTTCCTCCCACTGCTAAAGACCTCTATGTGCAAGCGAATTATTGAAACAAAATTGAACCATATATAAGTCTCGAAATGACCTAGTTTGTGTCGAGTAAACGTTAAACCCCATTTCTCTCTCTCTTTTGTCCAGGGCAGTGGTTTGAATTGCCTCAGAATGATCTTTTCTTACCACAGTCATATTTTAACGCATTATGTATCTTTAATGAGGGGGATCACGTGGCTAACTGGGTAAGACGCTGGCTCGCTAGCCTGGAGGTCGGGTGTTCGTTCCCTGCATTGGCCGAGAAAGTTCATTCAGATTCTCCGGCGTGGTTTCCCTCTTGTCAGTGATGCAAGTTTGGTGGGCCTGACAAGGACAGCTGTCTAGTCGTTCAGATGGGACAAAAAACTGAGGTCCTGTGTACACATTGGCTTGCACGTAAAAGATCCCTTGACAGTTGGAATTCGATGTAAGAGTAGGTCGTAGCGCTGCTGCCCGGGCAAAATTTCCCTTATAGCACACTGTATGGCGTATGCTCGTCTTCATTAGGCCAGTTCGAAGCAGAACAGTAGGACGTTAAACCCCATTTCATTTCATTTCATTTTTTTGTTTTTTTCAGGCTGGTTGCGTTCATTTTCCCAGTACTAGTCAATGTGACGTCCGTGTTTTATTACTTCTGTTCAGCAGTAAAAAGAAAGCGTTTATTGGTTTGATACCAAATGATCAAGTAGCTTTCGTACAAGGCATCCGAACAGTCCTCAGTAAACATAAAGAAAGGGTAAGTTTTATAAGTTTTATACGTTATCCACGTGGTATTAGTCTCCATCGCTCCAGTCTAAACTCTCTATACTTTTAACTACAATGAATATCGGTCTGGACAAAAAAAAAACGTGCCATTTGTTTATGCTGGCTGACTGGCTGACTGTGTGTTGGTGCAAAGTAATGGCTTATGTGAAATAGTGTCGTAGTTCACAATGCATTCTGCTTTCTTCAAATTCGCGCAAGCGAATTATTGAAATAAAATTGAACCATGTGTTAGTCCCGAAATGACCTAGTTTGTGTCAAGTGGACGTTAAACCCCATTTCTCTCTCTCTCTCTTTCTTCAAATTTCCTCACACACAAGCCATAGAGTAAACCTAGTATGGCATTTGATTCTGATTACTGCTACAAACTTTTATAATATTTTGTCCAGAGCAGAGTTTGTTGTAGTCAAAGGGAAGATAATTTTGGTTGAAGCTATTGAGACTATTGTGATAATAATGCTTTATATTTGTGGTAGTTTGAATGTTATAATATTAACTTTAAAATCATCCTCACAAAACCTGTTCTCTTCATTATTTGTATTGTAGCCCCAGACTCTAGTTTAATTCATTAAGGGGTGAGGCTACCCGAAAAATGTTTTCTCAAATTCTAAAGCCATTGAATTAAAAATGGCACAAGTAGTTAGGAAATGTAATGAACAAGGGAAAATTAACATTAAAAAAACCCAAAAAAACTATTGTTGCCAGGCCAACACATTTTTTTTTTTGTTGAAAAAGTATGAAAAACATATGTACGTCATATCTCTGATAATAATAAAGATAAATGCCTCATGTTCAGACTGCTTATTCTTTAATGATAACCCTAAAATCAGACAGAGTTTTTCTCTATAATTTTTATTGTTTCTCAGAAAATGATGTCTTTGGAGAAATATTTTGATGACTTTTGAAATATTAATGATAATTCAAATTGCTTTCTGCCTGATTCTGTGGTAGATATTAGTTTATATACCCTCCAATTGTGGCAACGATATTTTAATTAGTTACAGAGATATAACGTACCTACATTTTTCTTAATTTTTTCCCAAGAAATGAGTTAACCTGGCAACAACTTTTTTTTAATGTTAATTATCCCTTGTTTGTACTATTTGTACTAGTTCAATTCAATAGCTTTTAACATTTCAGAACAAAAATTTTGCTACACCCCTTAAAATTCTGTTGCACCATAGCCTCATAATGTCGCTGATGTGATTGGCTCCACATTCGAGATTAGTGCAGGCTGCCATTGTCATGTGATATAAGCATTCTCATTGAATTTTTTAATGAGACCTGATGATCTCGATAAAGGATATGTGTAGACTGGTTCATCCAGGCATTAAACAGATAACACATGAATTGTACCCGAGCTACAAATATTGTCTAGTCTGGGTTTTAAAGGATGCATTTTAAATGAATAACCTTAGTTTATATGTTTATAGATGTTTTGATGTGTTTTGTGAAGATCTTGAATTAACCCATCCAGAATCCTTTGGAGTTCTTTTTTTTATCTCCTCGCATTTTAGTGTGGTCGTATGTATTTTGCTGTCGCCAACTGAAATTAACACGTTGGTACATAAATATACAATTTTAAGTTGATTGGTTAAAACCCCAGTTGGGAACGGGGAACGTAGATTTTAGGATGGGTTTGATTGAATCAAATTCTAATCAAGATTCCGTCTTCATTAGCCCAGTTCGGAGCAAAACAGTAGGATGTTAAACCCCATTTCATTTCATTTCTAATCAAGATTTGTTATTAATTCTGCCACTGCTAGTTGTGGCGTGGTGGATGTCCGAATGGTTAACGCGTACACGTTGTATCATAAAGTCTGTCATTGAATCAACTGCCATGGTTTCGATTCCCCGGTTGTACGTGACAAGGAGTAGGGCCACCTGTCCAACCTCGTGGGTTTTCTCTGGGCCCTCCAGTTTCCTCCCACTGCTAAAGACCCCTACGCGAAAGCGAATTATTAAAATAAAATTAAACCATATGTTAGTCCTGAAATGACCTAGGCTGTGTCGAGTGGACGTTAAACCCCATCTCTGTCCGGGCAAAATTTCCCTCGTAGAATGCTTCATGATGTAGTCCCGTCTTCATTAGCCCATATAGTGAACAGATGATAACATACTGTTCCCCAGACCTATTCAGATATTGGTTAAAAAACAAATATCACAATTTCTGAAATAAAAGGAGTTGAGATTTGAATAGTGATGAATCAAACATACCCTATAAGATAACAGTTTTATTAGTTTTAACAGATTAACAGTGTGTAGGGCTACAATGGTATATTAGGGATAATTTAATTAACTCCCTTGGTTCATTGTAACAAGTAACTTTTATGGAATCCGACCATACAAGAAACATTAACAAGTGGTTGAGTAGATCTTATATGACTGATAGTATAGTATTAAACTTCCTAAATAAATATGGCATGAAAATAAGAATATCAACAAACTTACATAAAATTTATTATTCTGAATATTAAACAATTGTCTAAAGCATTGATCGATAAATAGAATTGACGTTAACCTTTATCCAGTAAATATACGATTGAAGCCCCACAGTGATATTGTAGTTTTAATATAGTGATGTTGTGTTTCATGTATAAAGAGCTTATTTCCATATAGGAGCCACAGTGGCTCAGTGAGTAGGATGTTGGATCCCTCTTGTAAGTGCTGCAAGACAGAGGGCCTGGCAAGGGACAACGTATAGTCGTTCATATGAGACAAAAAAACGAAGTCCCGTGTATATTGTTGCGAACGTAAAAGAACTTTTGACAATTGGAATTCAATATCATTGTAATTTGTCACAGTTAACCTGTAGGTCCTGCATTCTATTGCAGTGGAATTCAAGAAAGTACTTCTGCATTTTCCAACGTCCTTTTCACTTGTCAGAATCAGTGTCTATTCGTACGGATGAGATAAAAAAAATTCAAGGTCTTGTGCTTGTAAAAGAACCCTTGTGATTGAAAATCAAAATAGAAATACATGTAGCTTCTGTAATGCATTATGTATTTCCGTCGTAGCACACAGCATAAAATTTACCAATTGATATTGCACGTGAAAGATCCCTTGACAATTGCGATCCAAGCACTAAGTGAAATCGGCAATCTCCAGGGTAAAATTTTGATGTTATTGAAACTGTAAACCTGGACACTCAATATCAAAATATATCAGTCAATACAAATCAGATGATTTTTGGTGATTTTAAGTGATTTTTAGGAATTTTTAAACAAAGATTTGATATTGAATGAATGTGAAAGAAATTAGTGCTAAATACACAAGATTAAATGATACCCGTATTACAGTAAAACCTGTTGTAATAAAGCCAACAAAGTTTTAAACCGTAATTTGCACGTTTGATTGACACTGCAATATTCTCATGGAAATAAGCTCTTTCTATGTTAGTATCAATGTTTATATGTGATCCGTGACATCAAAATGAGTTGGAAGCCATTATTATACGAATTGATCAAAAATGTCGGAAATCTTCCTTTTTTTCAGTTTGCTCCATTTGTTAAATCTAACTTCTAGGTTTCATGTTATATCATTTGAAATTAAATCTTTGGCATATTTCGACATGTTTTGTTCATTTCGAATAATAATGATTTGTGACATCCGAGTGATTTTGTTGTGATGGGTGACATGTGTTCCTGTTTGTCAATGTGTGCATGTAATTGTTGTTTTCTGTAGTCTCAAGTACGACAAGCTATGATGTCACAATCTATGTCCGTACAACAGTCGTTATCTACACCACCGCAGGTAATCTATTCTCTAACCCATTTCTACATAATAGAACAGCCTTAAGTCGTGGGGGGTAGGGGTGGTGGATGGATGACCGAATGGTTAGCGTGTATGTGTTGAATCATAAGGTCTGTCATCGAGTCAACTGGCATGGTTTCAGTTCCATAGTTGTACGTGACAAGGAGTAGGGGGGCACCTGTCCAACCTCGTGGGTTTTCTCTGAGTCCTCCTATTTATTCCCACTGCTAAAGACCCCAAAGCGCAAGTGAAATATTGAAATAAGATTGAACCATGTGTTAGTCCCGAAATGCCCTAGTTTGTGTCAAGTGGATGTTAAACCTCTCTCTCTCTCTCTCTCTCTTACCCTCCCGCACCCTCTCTTGTGGTTCGCACCCTCTCTTGTGGTTCGGATGAGTTAAACAGACCTGTGTACACATTGACATACAGGTAATACATGTACCTGTATTCATTAGCCCAGTTGGTGCAAACAGGTAAGATGTTTAAATCCTTTTCTACATAATCAGTGGATCATTCACCTAGATTTGCTGAATGAAATATAGTGCAGGTATAAGACCCCTTGGCAGCTGGAATTTGAAATAAGAGAAGACTAAAGCACTGCAGTCTAAGTAAAATTTCCTTTATAGCAACCTGCCTGTCTTTATTAGCCCAGTTGGTGAAGGTGTTTCTAGATAGAGAGAGAGAGAGAGAGAGAGAGAGATGGGGTTTAACATCCACTCGACACAAACTACTGTATATTATTTCGGGACTAACATATATGGTTCACTTTTATCTCAATAATTCACATGCGGATAGGGGTCTTTAGCAGATGGAGGAAGCCGGGGTGGAGGACCCAGAGGAAACTCACAAGGTTGCACAGGCGATCTTATTCCTTGTCACGTACAAGCAGGAAATCAAAACCACACCACTTAATGACAGATCTTACGATCTAATGTGCACACATTAAACCCAACTCCCCCCCCCAACCGATAGTAATTTGCTTTATTTTGAACAATATCTAATTCTTTACTGCTTAATCCACGCTGAAGTATACTCATAAACAGACCAGAGATTTTATGGGAAACAATCACTAGTTACTAGTTTTATTCTGAAAGTACGACATTTGACAGACAATGTGTTTCCCCGATTGCTAAATGCCACTCAAAGATTATAGTCAAATGGATTAACATTTAAAGTAAACACACATCAGTAGTGTAATGGTCGCTTCCTTTCTACAGATGTGAGATCTGGATTTAAAATATGTCGAATGAAAGTGAAATTATCAAATTATAGTCTGGAATATTTAACATTATTCAAGAGCTAAATTGCAGGTCTTTCTGTAGGCTTAAATGTTATATAAACTATTAATTAAACATTTATTAATATGACAAGACCATAATCAACTCTCAATGACATCGGATACTCGAGATTTTAACTAGATGACCTGGCGCCTGGTACGTTCGGGCATTTTTATGCGCAAACTCTTAGGTTTTTTTTACTGGCATGCGCACAGGTACTATTTCTTTTTCTTTTAACAAGTACCCAAATCGGGGATTTCGTGCGGAGGTAGTTCGGAGGTAAACAGTCTGTGAAGTACAACACTTGCCACTGTACCTGTGTATCGCTAATTATAAACCGAATGTGTGAAGACAGTTCATACATATCACTCAAAAATTTTTCAGTACAAACTCAGTTGATTCACGCTCGATTTGCTACTAAACAAACCCATCGGTTTATTTTCTCAACAGTGTGACCCGAAGTGATCGCAGATTTATTGACCTTGTATGAACTTATCCATAGCTATATCCTTACACCGAGAGAAATTATCTAGTCTCGGTGAAAAGAACCATGGTCATCTGGTAGAAAATTACTTTTGTATTTTTTGGAACGGAAAACAGTGTTTTTAGAAGTAAACTAACCTGCCGCACATGAGGAAGTCATTGTACTAATAATAAAAGGCGAGACCTCTTTTTGCGGCGCAGGCTTATCACTGAGTAGTAAACCGTCCACAAACAATAATATAGGAAGCTTAGTGACGAGTGTAGCAAGTAGGCTATAGACTATAGGTTTGAGTCGAGATTACTCGCTTTCAGTTTACTCTGTTTTTGCGATAACCAATTATGTGAGAAATACCATACTGACATTCGGTTTTTAAAAGTTGTACGCGAACTAAATGCGTTTGTTAGATACTGACAGAGCAGCCCCGAGTCGAACAATCGCCGCCCGAGCTGTCTTCGTCAGCTAGTTTCACAATATCGTGCAATAGGTGTATTAATGTGATTTTTAGGTTTAACCCCGCAAACAATGCCAAAATAGTGTTTTCACTGCTTACAGAAAACTGAAATTTAAAAAAAAAAAATTTTTATGAGGGTGCCCCTCCCACACACTCCCCATCGAGCTGCCGCTCGGTCTGCGCAGCCTCATGCCTGGCACATACTGTCAACATTGTATATTTTTCCGTTTCCGCCCTTCCCCCCCACAATATATATTTCACGGCTACGTTGCGACGGTACCAGCATACCAAGTTGTTGACACCCATTACATCACTCCTGTCTAACAAATCATAAAGCTGTGGTGTTACGGTGGCGGCATAGTATTTCACCGTAACACCACAGCCACTCTAACCATTCATAATACATCTAACTATCCCTTTACAGCACTTCACTCCCTACACATATCTCATACATCCAGTTCGCTGATTAACCCTTGTACCACGTCTACTGGATTAGAACGGTTCAGACATTTAATGAATTAATTTAAAAATGGAAAAGCGAGGCTAAGCCTCGAATATACCAGTACCATGGTTACGATAATAAACAATCAATGCAGACATCTTGTTAAGACTACAAACACTGATAACTTGGCTCAGAACAAAGTAATTTGAATGAAATTTTCAGTATATTCATTTTGCATTATCAATTTTATAACTATTATATAGCAAGAAAAGAATGGCCACTTTTTATCTAGATTGTACAAAATGTATCTTTAAGTATTTGTGATATTTTTATATGTTTAGATGCAGCAACAACAGACCGGTGGAGTGGGTAATATTGTACCTGGACCCAGTAATACTATGACATCATCCACATCTACTATCCCCATGATACCTGGACAGGTAAGTTGATTGCTGTGTCGAGAGCCACAGTGGCTTGAGGTCCTGTGCTTGATCCCTGCGTTGGCCAGAAAAAAGTCTTTCAATGTTTTCCATCATGGTTCCCCCTTGTCAGTGGGCTTGGCAACGGACAACTGATAGTTGTTCGGATGGGATGAAAACCAAGGGCCTGTGTACACATTGGTGTACATGTAAAAGATCTCAAGTTGACAGTTGGAATTCGATGTAAGAGTAGGCTGTAGTGCCGCTATTTTGGTCAAATTCCCTCATAGCACATTATATGGCGTATGCCTGTCTTAGCCCAGTCGAAGCAGAACAGTAGGAAGTTAAACTCTATTTCATTGTATGTTTTGGTTGCTATGTCCGCACTGTATCATAAGGTCTGTCATTTAGTCTCAACTGGCTTGGTTTCAGTTTGCCGGTTGTACGTGACAAGGAGTAGGGTCGCCTGTCCAACCTCATGATTTTTCTCCTGGTCCTCCAAGTCTCCTTCCACTGCTAAAGGCCCACAAACGCAAGCGAATTATTGAAATAAAATTGAACCCTGTGTTAGTCCCGAAATGACATAGTTTGTGTCAGTGGAGGTTAAATCCCATCGCTTTCTCTCTCTCTCTGTTTTAGTTCAATGAAATTATTCTACAATTATAGTTTCATCTCCACAGATGAAGCCAGTTTTGAGACCTAACAAATTTTGTCATTCCGCTTTATTATTTTGATACGCTGCCCTTTCCGTACAGTCTCGTCCTTGTCAGTGGTGCCTGACAAAGGGATAGTGTTTAGTCATACGGATGGTACGGAAAAAACATCGCCATGTACGTAAAAGAACCCTACATACTGCATTGCATACATGTATGTTGATCTTTGTTAACCCTTTGCTAAGGACAATGGGATGCTAACCTTATGGACTTTGAAATATGGTTGCTCTTCAAACCCCAATGTTCTTTCTCTGGAATTTGTTTAAAACTCTTGTCTCAATTTGGCTAGACATCAAAGAGAATCCAACATACAAACCACGTCCACGTCAAAATGTTGTAAATGTTATTTTAGATGCAGAATCAGATCCCGAGTACGATGACAACTATGCCGTCGACAACTCAAGGTAGTCAGATGGGACCACAGATACCAACAAACCCCATTCAGCAACAACAACAACAACAGTTGCTAGGGTTACAACAACAAGCTGTTGCTGCTGCTCAACAAATGGGTGGATCTCAACAACAAGCAGTTGATAACTCTAGTGTGGTATGTATTTATGTATCCCTGAATGTTTTAAGGTATCAAGGTATTGTATAGTTAAAGCTCCCCCCCCCCCCCCGCCCCTTAAAGAAATGTGGCCTGTAGTGGCTTCAGCTGCCAAACTTTGCCAGTTTTCAACAAGCCACTTTTCTCTCTACTCTAAAGACCCCTTTCATCTGTTCTAAAGCGGGGGTGTGGAGTCGGTGGGTGGGGGTTGGATTATAATATACAAAACATGATCCGTAACCCATGATGTTGTAATTTGAAAAATTCACAACATTCAATATCCTTTGCAGAGAATATAAACAAGCAGGTGCCACCTGCAGATGGCAGAATGGTTAGCGCGTGCACGCTGTATCATAAGGTCTATCAGTGAGTCAACTGGCATGGTTTCGATTCCGTGGTTGTACATGACAAGGAGTATGGTCATCTGTCCAACCTCGTGGTTATTCTCCGGGTCCTCCAGTTTCCTACACTGCTAAAGACCCCTAGCGAATTATTGAAATAAAATTGAACCATATGTTAGTCCCGAAATGACCTTATAAAAGCCACCTCAAAAGACTATTCTCCACTAATCTAAAGACGTATAACCCCCATCACAAAATGCATGTGCATTTAGTGTGTTCAGTCAAAGTTAATATCCATATCAAGTTGTTTTCAACAGTAACTCCATTTTGTACATGTTAATTTCTCCCTCCTATTGAAGTTTATCCTTCTATCTGTTGGCCATTTGTGTTGCATTGAATGGAAAATTTAAAAGAAAAGATTATTTGTTATTATTTTTAGGCATTGTTGCAACAGAAAATACAGGCCTTACAACAAGAATTACAGGGTGCTAAGCAAAAGGAAATGCAGAAGGAACAACAAGCTAAGATGGCTGCCCGACAACAACAACAACAACAGCAGCAAATGATAGGTAAGCTTTACAACACAACAGGGTTATTGCGTGCTAACTTTCTTTTTATTTTCTGCCCAGCTCCTTTTTCTTCTGCTAATTGTTAGGCTTTTAAATTTATTTTAAATCTGCATTTCTAATTCTCTTCATTCAATATATATACAAAGTGCTATCTTCAAGTTAAAAATATGTAGTAAAATCTATACGGGCAGCCATCCTTCTTGGCGACATCCCCTGGTAAATGGTCACAAGGAATTCCCTCTTGGGTTTTATCGATTTATAAAAAAAACGTCACTCCTCTAACTCGACCAGCAGTCACTGTTGTAGTTTTAAATTGATCAGGGCCCTTATTCACGAAAACTTAAACTAAGATACAATCGAAATTTTAAGAAATACTGCAATTCGATTGGCTGACCAGTAAAATCAATTTGCATATATCCAATGAAGTTGCAGTATTTCTTAAAATTTCGGTTGTAACTTAGTTTAAGTTTTCGTGAATAAGGGCCCAGAGCATCCTCTGTTGATATCCTCCAGGGATTATCGGTTAATTAATCTTTTGTTTTATAAAATAACAAACGCTGATCATTGTGTTCACATGCAACGTTGCATGTATATGATACTGAGGGGAATAAACAGACTATTTGTTCAATCTGATTAAAACACAGATCTTATTTCGTTTTGTTTTTTTATAGTTCAAAATTTCGTTTTAATTGTCTTTACTACACTGAATGATGTGAGGGATTAGCCAATGAAATGGTCTGCTATGGCGAGCTTTAGGCGTGCTTTGCACGGAACTGTGGGTAATCCTCTAGTAACATCAATGCTGATTGGTTAATCAAATGTCTGACGCCAAAGGGTCAAAAGCCGCTTGTATGACCTCTGACACGACCTATCGCTACAACCGGTCAGATCTTCATGTAGTGTAGGCCATCGAAAGTACAAAAAAACGAAACGATATGTAGATCTGTATTTGAATCAGTTTGACTACGTGTGCTGTCACTGCCGAGTTTTATCACGATCATCTATTTTCTATTGATGCCGTGATCGTTTGATGCAAATCTATTTTTGGTCGCCAGATTATTCAATCTGATTAAAACACAGATCTATATTTCGTTTCGTTTTTTTTTATACTTTCGATGGCCTACACTACATGAAGATCTGACAAGTTATAGCCATAGGTCACGTCAGGGGTCAAAAGACCGACTTATGACCCTATGACGTCAGACATTTGATTAACCAATCAGCACTGATGTTACTAGTGGATTACCCACAGTTCCGTGCAAAACACGTCTAAAGCTCGCCGTAACAGACTGTTTCATTGGCTTACCCACGACACCATTCAGAACACGAGTTAAATAACAACTCTTCCAGATCCTAGTGTAGTAAAGACAAGTAAAACGAAATATTGAACTATACAAACGAAACGAAATAGGATCTGTGTTTGAATCAGATCGTCAGATTATTAAATGGTGTACATGATAAGTTAAATTCAAACCCCCATTAAGATAAACAAACCTAAGGCCTGAATACATGTTACTTATATTCATAGGACAGGGAGGGCCAGCTGTCTAGTCATTCGATATAAGAGTAGGCTGGGCAAAATGTCCCTCATAGCACACTGTATGGCGTATGTCTGTCTTCATTAGCCCAGTCGAAGCAAAACAGTAGGACGTTAAACCCTATTTCATTTCTTATCTTGTCTTCATATATTTTGTAAAACTCATTTTCTTGATCATGAGCAGATAACCACGGCCTATATTATGCTGGATCATCTAGTCATATGTATTCTGGTATGTAATTCATCAATGTTAAGTGGTTGCTAGGTTACTTAAGGTGGTTGTGTATATACATACATACATATATATATATAGGCTACAGTATAATCAAATGGTAATAGGCTTCTCTATGTCTTCATGGCTAAATCTATTTGTAAGGCCAGCTCAATTTTTGTCAAGGTCGCTGTAATGTAAGTAAGGTTAGGGCACATGATTGTTGGCGAGATTGTAGGTTAGGGTTAGGGTAATTATTGGAGCTAGGTCCAGGGTTAGGGTTGGGATTAGCGCTAGTCCTGTTTACATCTTGTGACCTTTGACGAAAAATTGAGCTGGCCTTATATTTTAGCACTAACCATGTCTTCATATTAAGGATAATCTATAGTCAAACCCCCATTTGTATTTTATTCAACTAGAATCTATGCAGGGGAGACCACTGTTGTCTTGCTTGTAGAAAATGTCACATGGCACTGTCACCCAGGGTATCATTTAATCTTGTGTATTTATTGCTAATTTCTTTCAATTTAATTCAATATTAAATCTTTGTTTAAAAATTTGTAAAGACCTTTTAAATCACCTCAAATCATCTAATTTGTCCTTGTGTCCAGTTTAAAGCCGACTGATTAATTTTGATAATGAGTGTTCAATTTACAAGTATATAATGTTCTGCACCACTGTTTAAAAAATTTATCAATTGGGTTGTTAATTTTTAACAGTGGTTGAGAAATTAAACACTTGTAAATTGGACACTCATTAAAATTAATCTGTCAGCTTTAAATTTAAACTGGACACAAGTATAAATTGGATGATTTTGGGTGATTTTAAACATTTTTTTTAACGGATTTTTAAACAAAGATTTGATATTGAATGAATGTGAAAGAAATAAGTGCTAAATAGACCAGATTAAATGATACCCAGATTACAGTGTGGTCAAAAACAAAGAGTCTGTGTGATTCTTTAAGCTTGGTACAGACCACCACCCATATTTGTATTTTCTACAATTGGAAAATATGCATGTGGGAACACCAGTGGTAGTGTGTCCTTTGAAAGTCCGATATTCAACTACAAAGGGTTGTCTGGCCAAAAAACAAAAAAAAAATTATTGAAGCTTGTTTGCTGTCAAAGGTAACACTCGTTGGTCTGACAAAAGTCTGTCTAGTTCTTCCTATGGGACAAAAAACAGACAAGTGGGAACAAGGTTTGGAGATTCATCTTTTAAATCCTTGTACTTAAATCTCTTGTCTGGTGCTGTAACTGTTCAACTAATGCCGCTCCACCCCATCCACCATTCTTGTATAGTAAATACAATACAGAGCTGGAAATTTTGGAGATTTTTTTTTCAATGTTACTGAGAGTTTTGTTCATCTACATGTAGTTATGGAAAACAATTAATTATAAAATTCGGAGTTGCAAAACAGGTTATGGTAGAGTTATTACCCCTGTTACTGAAATTTTGTAAATTATACTCTGAAGGTCAGAGTTTTGTGATTGATTTTTTTTCAAACTTGCAGGGATTATTTGGGTAGGACAAACCATCAATTTTACTACTGCTTGTGAGTGTTTATTTGTGGGCTGGCAATTCTTGGTTTAACCATTACACTTCCAAAATCGGGGGATCACGATGGCTAAGTGGGTAAGACGTTGGCTCGCTAGCCTGGAGGTCGGGTGTTCGATCCCTGCATTGGCCGAGAAAGTTCATCCAGATTTTCCGGCGTGGTTTCCCCTTGCCAGTGATGCAGGATGGAGGGCCTGACAAGGACAGCTGTCTAGTCGTTCGGATGGGATGGGAAACCGAGGTCCCGTGTACACATTGGGGTGCACGTAAAAGATCCCTTGGCAGTTGGAAGTCGATATAAGACTAAGAGTGGGCCGTAGCGCCGCTGCCCGGACAAAATTTCCCTCATAGCACACTGCATGACGTATGCCGGTCTTTATTAGCCCAGTTTAGGAGCAGAACAGTAGGACGTTAAACCCCATTTCATTTCATTTTCATACTTCCAAAATCATGACTCGTATAATCGAGATATGTTCTTGCTTTGGATTCTAGAGGTTGGAATTGGTGACTGTTTTTATTATGGTGAAGGTTTTTGTAGGGCATGGGTTTTTGTTCAATGTTAAACTGGTGCAGGTAGAATGTTTTATAGTTTGGGTTTCGGTTTTATTTTAGGGTAGGGGAGGTCACAGGCACATTTAACATGGAAAATCTTTAATAGGTAGTGGGGTATTTTTTAAAGAGATTTTCCATGTTAGTAACAGGAGCCTGTGGGTGAGGTAACTGATAAGCCTGGCTTACCTCAAATTTTTATTATATATTTCCTTAATGTATAAATTAAACTGTGAGATTGTATATAATTTTTGATATGTGATATCAATTTACATCAGTGTTGATTTTTGTTGTTATAATCTCAATTTAAATAATTTATATTTTATTTATATGCAAATTAAGTATTTAGAATTCCTGTTTGTGTTGATGAGGCGTAAAACTCTCTGAACTGCCCTGAGTTAAGAGTTGAATGTTTTTCACCATCAGATGGTACAGAAAAGTAGGATGTTTAATCACAGTTAATTTTTTTCCAGATCACCTGATACAACTTCTCATTTGAGAGATAGAGACTCAACACAAACTAGGTCATTTCGGGATTAAGATATTGTTCAATTTTATTTCAGAAGGCCTGTCATTGAGTCAACTGGTGTGGTTTCGAATACCTGGTTGTATGTGACAAGGAGTAGGGTCGCCTGTCCAACCTCGTGGGTTTTCTCTGAGTCCTCCGGTTTCCTCCCACTGCTAAAGACCCCTACGCGCAAGCGAATTATTGAAATAAAATTAAACCATAAGTTAGTCCGGAAATGACCTAGTTTGTGTCGCGTGGAAACTGAAGGACCTGGAGAAAACCCACAAGCTAGCTTCTCATTTGAGGAGTTCACATAATTGTTTTTATTCACCGAATTTTTTTTTTTTTGCAGCCCACCGTCAGCAGGTACAGCAACAGCAGCAGTTACAACAGAGACAGTTACAGTTACAACAACAGCAACAGGTACCCAATCAACAACAGTTACGACATTTACTGCTGAATCAACAAGTAAGTCTAGTGAAAAATGTACAGTAAACTTCGTATAAGTCTGATCTAAGTGGACTGACCAATTTTATCCCAGTTAAACGAAGATCCGAGTTAGCCGAAGACCAAAATTCAATCTTAGCTTGGTTAGAAATAAACTGCAGGAGTCTGATAATAATTTATTCATAGGCACATTTCAAGCTTTTATTTGTATGTGCGAGTAGATAACTTCTGTTTTGTCGCCATCTTTGAAAAATTTTCTAAATTTTCCCGGAAAGTGTCTCATACAGCAGACAGCGAATTTCGAATTTGCGTCACGTCAAATAGGCTGATTTGAGTCAAAATGATAGGGAAAATATTTTGGGGCTCTGTGCATGGAATACCTAACCGTGTTTTAGACCATCCGGACGAAACTGACTTAGAAAATTCTGAACATATTGCCGATCAGACTTGGGCAATGGTTGTAATTGGAAACTGACCCCTTCAAAAATATCTGGCAAAATACATATATATTTTATTGAGAGGGTTGATTTTCCAGTTTCCTCACAAATGGGCGTCCTCACTAAAGATAAAGGGGCATAATTTATAGGAAACACCATAGAGGAGGCAGTCCCAAGTGACCTCATTGTGTGCGTTACAGCATTGTTTTCCTGTACATTCATTACAAACTGGTGTGTTGACAAATGATAGTTATTGTCGTTAAAATCGAATTTAATCCTGCTACGTCGAAATACAGTTCTCTCACCATTGATAAGGTCATGAGGAACAAATTTTTTACTAGCGATGTCTGTTGGGAATTCCTTCAGCGAGGACGCCCATTGGACTAATCACTACACAGTGAGTACGTTCTCACCAAAAGGTCCCGTACTGGCCAAGGGGTCCTGGGTTTGATTCCAGTGTTGGCCAAGGGGTCCTGGGTTTGATCCCAGTGTTGGCCAAGGGGTCTTGGGGTTCAATCTCACTGTTGGCCAAGGGGTCTTTGGGTTCAATCCCACTGTTGGCCACAGAGGTCTCGAGGTATTAACTCAAGCTTTTCTAGCATGCCTGGCAAGTAACATCGTCTAGTTGTTTGGATTAGATGGTAAAACGAAGTGATGTCTGTAAATGTTGACATGTACATAAAAGATTTTATTTCAATAATTCGCTTTCATGTAAGGGTCTTTAGCAGTGGGAGGACCTGGAGAAAACCCATGAGGTTGGATAGTCCCAAACCCCATCCTATGTCTGGTCGTTCTTTATACTGTTTTGTCTTGTTTCTCCAGCACATTCGTCAACAACAACAGCAACAACAGTTAATGATGCAACGAGGGACGGCACCACAACAACAAATACCGCCAGATGGCCAACAGAACATGCCCATGCAGCAACAACCAAACCAGAACTTCATATCAGATTTTAACCTTCCAGACAACTTCTAGATCATTTCACGATATCATCCTGTCATGCTTGTAAATACACATTTGTTTTCACTCTATGATAATTTTGGACCCTTGATGTCTCTTGCCTTAATGGTCCATCTTTCATACTGAAAGCGACGAAATGCCCAGATTTCACCTTATACTCTTTATTTACTTAACAACGTAAATCATGCAAACTTTTCCCTAAATTTGCTCAGGTTATTCTGGGCCCATGATATCTCCTGCCTTCCAGCCACAATGTAGGGAGGCCAATCTGATTAAAACACAGATCCTATTTCGTTTCGTTTTTTATAGTTCAAAATTTCGTTTTACTTGTCTTTACTACACTAGGATCTGGAAGTGTTGTTATCATTGACGTGTTCTGGATGGTGTAAGGAATTAACCAATGAAACAGTCTGATACGGCAAGCTTTTGACATGTTTTGTACGGAACTGTGGGTAATCCACTAGTAACTTCAATGCTGATTGGTTAATCAAATGTCTGGCGTCATAGGTCAAAAGCCGCTCGTATGACCCGTGACGTGACCTATCGCTATAACTTGTCAGATCTTCGTGTAGTGTAGCCCATCGAAAGTATAAAAAAACGAAACGAAATATAGATCTGTATTGTAATCAGATAGGTAGGGAGGTCTTTCACTATGAAAATGATCTGCCTTACGACCAGAATCTAAGGAGGTCAACTTTTATAGGGAAATTATTTATTATCAAGATGTTCAGAAACTTTTTTTCTTGACGATCTTATGAAATTATTGATCTACATTTTGTAATCAATTTTGTTTTATATTTATACATATTTTAAGTAATATTTTGGTATCACAATCTTGAATTTTCTCGTAAAATACGAAATTAAAATTTTTGTCTCGCAATCTTGAATAGTCTCGTAAAATAGGAAACTAAAATTTTGGTATCACAATAGTCTCGTAAAATACGAAACTAAAATGTTGGTATCACAATCTTCAATAGTCTCGTAAAATACGAAACTAAAATGTTGGTATCACAATCTTCAATAGTCTCATAAAATACGAAACTAAAATGTTGGTATCACAATCTTCAATAGTCTCGTAAAATACGAAACTGAAATGTTGGTATCACAATCTTCAATAGTCTCATAAAATACGAAACTAAAATGTTGGTATCACAATCTTCAATAGTCTCATAAAATACGAAACTAAAATGTTGGTATCACAATCTTCAATAGTCTCGTAAAATACGACACTTAAATTTCAATACATTCTAATAATTTTTCTTAAACATCCATATTGTACAAAAATCTTTTTTTTTTTTTTTTATGCCATTGTTTACATGAATTTTAATGAAGTAAATAAATGAAAATGTGTTTCTATACAATTAGGTTATTTTTAAAAATTCAATAGTCTATTTGAAAAAAAAAATTGAAAATATTGATAAGTCAAATTTTGGATTATGATACTTGTTTTGGAAAATATGTCTTGCAGTATATTGATTATCAATTTTGACAGCGCGGTGTAACTTTATATTAATTAGATCGGCTATTTAGGTTAGTTTGATAGAAATTGTATCATTTACTTTCTCCAAATCTAGCTATTTGATTGTTTTATAAGCATCGGAGGTGCTGCCCCCATCATGTTGTTGATTTTGCTACAAACCAAAAATATGTTTTGTTTATGTCCTGTATTTTGTTTACGTTTCTAGTTCTTTATTTATTTTTTATGAACTTTGACCTCTAATGAACTAATATCATCAGCTGATAATATATGAACTTTGACCTCTAATGAACTAATATCATCAGCTGATAATATATGAACTTTGACCTCTAATGAACTAATATAAAAGTTTAAAAAAAAAACTTGGAGGCATCAGAACTAGCTGTCCACAAGAATATAGATGTACAGGGGCCTGTTTCTCTAAATTTTAACTAAGATAAAATCCAAATTTTAGTAATTGGATTGGATAATATTAGATTGATTTTAGTGCTTAGTCAATTAAAATTGAAGTATCTACTAAAATTTGGATTTTATCTTTAGTTAAGATTTTGAGAAACAGGGCCCAGGTAGTTAATTCCAGATACCTGTGTATATATATTGTATTCTAAATACACCTAGACTCGGCTAATTATTGCAGTTTAATTAGATCCATTTAAAGCATATATACAAACGTATAGCTTTTCTTGGCGATGAATTGGCAGTTATCTCAAACTATTCAATCCAATTTATTCCTAATATATCTGAATATTCAATTCACCGCAAATAGATGAATTGGCAAAGCTTTCTGAAATTTTGAAATATATTCCCCAGTGTATATTCCAAGCTCTTCAAATTGAAAATTATTTTTTTACTTAATAACTAATTATATATAAGATACTTATAATGCCCCTTTTAAAAGCTAATTAGAATAGAATTTTATTGCATCAAAATGTTCTTTGAGGATCGAATACAATATACAAAGTATAAAATTACAAGTTCATGTGAATCATATTTAATAGAAAACGATGGAATCTTCTTTTTTTTTTTACATTTTATATCTTCGAATTATAAATTACACGGTGAATCATAATGAATAGAAAAAGATGGAATCTTTTTTTTTAAACATTCTTACATGTTCGAGAATTATAGATTATATTTGTGAATTAAATAAGAACATTAGACCAAGTTATTGATAAATAATTAAATAAGAACATAAGACCAAGTTATTGATAAATAATTCTATCAGACTTAAATGTATTTCAGATTTATATTTCAAGAATTCATTATGGTTGTGAAAGCAACCTACAACAATCCTCAATTCCCCCTACGTCACCAAATTCTACAATGGCCCATTATTTTCCAACAAATGTCTTATGAAATTAGATAATATTTGAAAAGTTTGACAAACATTGCTCACAAACTTAAAGTGAATGAGAATTGAAATCTACCTCGAATAATATGTTTCAGCGGTATGAACTGCAAGAATCTGTAACAGTGTTTCTATTTTTAATTTTTTTTCTTGTCAGACATTTTTTAATACAAATAAAGAGGAATAACTCTTATTGTTATTCAATAACATAGCATTAAAGGGACAATAACACTCTTGCTGGCTTGAAAGCTCCAGAAAATACAAAATATCTCTATCTAAGTACTAGATGTTTAAATGTCCTACCTGTTGTGTAAATTATCCATTACATCCTATTTTACTTGTCCAGAGGTTTCGAAAATATTTTTAAATTAAAGTTTCATTTGAAAAGGTTTACGTTAGACGTTTCAAACCATTATGTTGAATTTTTTAAAAATTTTAAATAAGGTGTGTTAAGATGAAATTTGTATCATCAATTAATTGAAATTTTCTAAAATAGTACAATTTGTTGACCAGAATAAAGATTGGGACATATTATTCAGTTACAACAAGAGTGGTATTGAGCCTTTAAGATTAGACTACGACAATAGTTGGCCAAACATGCGCTACAAGGCTCTGACAAGGTGACAAGGAATTGAGGAAGTAATCAATCTGAATAAAACACAGATCCTATTTCATTTCATTTTTTATAGTTCAAAATTTCTTTATACTTGTCTTCACTACTCTAGGATCTGGAAGAGTTGTTATATAACCAACCTGCGTTCTGGAATTGCGTGAGAGATTAGCCAATGAAACCATCTGTTACAACGACTTCTTGGCGTTTGATGCACAAAACTGTGGGTAAACCATGCGTACGACCCCTGACACGACCTCCCAATACAACCGGTCAGATCTTCATATAATGTAGGCCAGCGAAAGTATAAAAAAGAAATGAAATTTAAAACTGTATTTTAATCCGATTGAGAAGTAATTATAATGAATGAAATTGTCTTTTTTTAATGTTATCACATGTGAAATATCATATACCGGTGTCGTACTTAACATTTATTTTTCTTCTTAAAACATACTCACTTATCTTAAAAGAGCTAAATCGCTAATATTTTGGATCTAGAAGTTGAACCAAATGGCAACTTGCGACATTCCGATAGCATGAATTTTTTGGCTTCTTATTATGTGCTAAAAATAGCACCACTTTCTCCGTGAGAAAAATGACTGGTTGGGAAAATTTTGAAGTGGAAGCCCTGGTCGCAAGGCATAATAATATAATAATGTAATCTGATTGTAAATGAACTGATTTACATTCAATTGTTACCGTTTTGACTCTAATTTCAAATCAGTTATGTCCAGCGAAATACGGCATCAGTCTCAACCGCCTGGCAATTTTTAGTGTGTGGTTATTCCAGTCTATTGTGCATGCTCTCCAGATAAGATATGGCGTCATGGTACATGATTCGTGTACTAATGGTAAAATGTTTATTTTGTCTTAAATATTGGATATCAGAAGCCTACCTTTTCCCGGTAAGATCACAACATCAGTGTTGATTTAAATTTGTGTTTTCAATGTGTAAGACTTTGGATGATATTGAGTTAGAGTCTTAGCTACTTTAAATATGGCTAGGCAAGTATTTATCAAATTTCTTGAATTATCAAAATAATAATTAGAATGAATCTTGTTCTTTAGTTTCTGAAGGAAAGTTAAAACGTAAAAGGCGTTAATGGTACTTTTTATGAATTATAAAACCTCACTGACAAATCTTGATAGCCATTTTCTATTTATGTAATATTCTCCACGATTTCCATAACTTATTTTGAATTAATCATCTTCCATTTGAAATGATCAATGTTTTGGGTGTTTTATTTAATTTAAATACCTTACAAGTTAAATTTTTTAAATGCTGTTAATTGCATATGTTTTATTATAATATATTTGTTTGTATATATTGTGAATGAAATCGATGACATTTGTATACAGTGTTCTACTCTATTTAATCCGTTTTTTTTTCACACTTTGATTAAAACACAGATCTTATTTCATTTCATTTTTTTTTATAGTTCAAAATTTCATTTTACTGGTCTTCACTACACTAGGATGCGTTCTGGTTAATGTAAGGGATTAGCCAATGAAACGGTCTGTTACGGCAAGTTCTTGGCGTGCGATGCATGGAACTGTGATAAACAGTGGTTGATTAATCAAATGTCTGAAATCAGAGGGTCAAAAGCTGCTCGTATGAACCCTGACACGACCTGACACGACCTGCCACTACAACAGGTCAGATCTTCATGTAGTGTGTAGGCCATTGAAAGTACAAAAAAACGAAACGAAATATAGATCTATATTTTAATCTAATTGCTTTTTTCATGAAATTTTCCAAATTCATTTTATGTAAATTCTAATATTGACAATTTCGTGATGTTGCATCAATTATAAATAAGGAATGAAATGAAATGAAATGAAATGGGGTTTAACGTCCTACTGTTCTGCTCCTAAACTGGGCTAATGAAGACGGGCATACGCCATACAGTGTGCTATGAGGTAAATTTTGCCCGGCCAGCGGCACTATCGCCTACTCTTGTCAGGCCCTCCGTTCTGCACCACTGACAAGGGGAAACCACGTCGGAAAATCCAGATGAACTTTCTCGGCCAATGCAGGGATCGAACACCCGACCTCCCGGCTAGCGAGCCAGCAAAATAAGGATTAATTTGATATTTCCATAAATCATGTTTTTTACCACTTTGAATATCTCTGAACCACTCTTACTCCTGGAGTGCTGTATCATGAGGCCTGTCATTGAGTCAACTGGTGTGGTTTCGAATCCCCGGTTGTACGTGACAAGGAGTAGAGTTGCCTGTCCAACCTAGTGGGTTTTCTCCGGGTCCTCCGGTTTCCTCCCACTGCTAAAGACCCCTAAGCACAAGCGAATTATTGAAATAAAAATAAACCATATGTTAGTCCCGAAATGACCTAGTTTGTGTCGAGTGGACGTTAAACCCCATTTCTCTCTCTCTCTTACTTCTGGAATAAGATTGACACAGTTGTTGGCGTGGTAACCAGAAGTTCCGGCTTTCGATCCTGGTCTTGGTTTAAAGCGGTCATCAGGATTGTCTAGTGTGGTTTCCCCTTGTTCAGTGGCGCCTGGCCTAGTCATTTGGATGGATGAAAAAATTAGACATGCTCATAAAATAACCCTTTGCAATTGGAATTTGATACAGGACTGTAGCGACACCATAGGTAATAATTCCTTCATTGCACACTGTAGGGCGTATGCCTGTCTTCATTAGCCCGGTCGGAGCAGAACACTAGGATATTGGAACCCCATTTCATTTCATTTTTGTAATAAGGTTGATTGAGATTTCCTTAAGGAACGTTTATATCAAATAGGTTTGGATAAGTTGAAAGGTATATCAAAGATACATTATTTAATACATAGGTTTTGTGTAAGTTGAAAGATATATCAAAGATACATTATTTAATACATAGGTTTTGTGTAAGTTGAAAGATATATCAAAGATACATTATTTAATAAATAGGTTTGGATAAGTTGAAAGATATATATTAAAGATATATTATGTACATGTAAGAGCTAAATCGGGTTGTTACAGAAGCTTTTTCTAGCTTCAAATGTTATATAAATAATTATTTAGACATTATTACCATAAGCCTCTAATTGTGTTCTAGACTATAGGATGGCTTATATATTGATAATGGTTAGATGGTTAATCAAGACTTAAGTTTATTATTGTAGCAAGATACTTGATAATCAAGACTATCTTGTCCAAACTTTAGACACTCAACAAGATCAGAATTATTAAATAAACGCTCCGTTAAATCTTACATAATGCATCAGACTTATTAAAACACAGATCCTATTTCGTTTCGTTTTTTATAGTTCAAGATCTCGTTTTACTTGTCCTTACTACACTAGGATCTGGAAGAGTTGTTATATAACTCACGTTCTGGATGATGTGAGGGATTAGCCAATGAAATGGTCTGTAACGGCGAGTTCTTGGCGTACGATGCACAGAACCGTGGGTAAACCACTAGAAACGTTAACACTGATTGATTGACGTCATAGCGGAAAAAGCCGCAAGGACAAGTAGTGTAGACCATCGAAAGTATAAAAAAAAATGAAACAAAATATAGATCTGTATTTTAATCTGACTGATAATGCATCTTTAACAATCTGGTCAGGGATATTTAAATCCGGTTATGTACATTTTATATTTTGTAAATATTATTTGTGTAAATAATACTATACAAATCACCAATGATATACATAATTATGTACGAAGACTGTCTATTGATAAAGAAACCTAGGGTTTGAAATTATTCATGTTTTTTTATATACACATATATACCATATTAAATATGAAATTATCGTTCATCTATGATAATCATTTAATAAATTATTGCCATATATATTATATATATATACACATAGATCTCACTCTTAGACTTCTTTTTATTAATACTACACCGGGCCACGGTGGTTCAGTGGGTAGGACGCTGGCTCGCTAACCTGGAGGTCCCTTGTGTTCGATCCCTACATTGACCGAGAAAGTTCATTGGGATTTTGCTGTGTGGTTTCCTCTTGTCAGTGGTGCAGGACGGGAGGGTCTGACAAGGACAGCTGTCACAATCGGATGGCACGAAAAAAAGAGGTCCTGTGTATAAATTGGCATGCACATAAAAGATCCCTAAGCCGTTGGAATTCAATATAAGTGTAGGCCATAGTGCCGCTGCCTGGGCAAAATTTCCCTCTTAGCAAACTGTATGGCATATGCCCGTCTTCATTTTCCCAGTCAGAGCAGAACAGAAAACCCCTTTTCATTTCATTACTACTATGGGAGTCATGGCTTGGGTGTGAGACGCTGGCTCCCTATCCTGGAGAATGGTTGTGATTTTCTGGCGTGGTTCCCATAGATTTCTTTTTATTAATGCTCATTGTATGGGTTGGGGGTGGATGGCCGAATGGTTAGCATGTGCGTGCTGTATCATAAGGTCTGTCATTGAGTCAACTGGTGTGGTTACGATTCCCTCGTACTTGACAAGGAGTGGGGTCACCTGTCCAACCTCGTTGGTTTTCTCTGGGTCCTCAGGTTTCTTCCCACTGGTAAAGACCCCTACGCGCAAGCAAATTATTGAAACAAAATTGAACCATATGTTAGTCCCAAAATGACTTGGTTTGTGTGAGTGGAAATTAAATTTAGGAGGTCTAGCTAACTGATGTTTGGTATCATTAATACTGATAGCAAAAACCCTGTTGTGGGGAAAAGAATCAACTTGCTTTATGTGGAACCCACATAGCTGTACCTGTGGATTATTTACAAATCAAAAACTATTTGTCCATATTTCCAATTAAAATTTATTTGTGAAATAATGATACCAATTGTAATTGTAGACCAATACTTACACCCAATTATTATGGAATCAAGTTACTAATTACATCAAATTATGGATAACACACTACTAATGACACACCAACACATCAATTATTTATAATACACTAATTATTGATTACACACTAATTACATCAAATTATGGATAACGCACTACTAATAAAACTAATTGTTGATGAGACACCCACATATCAATTATTTATAATACACTAATTATTGATTATACACTAATTATTGATTACACACTAATTGATAACACATTAATTATTGATAACACGTTAATAATTACGGGAGCCACGGTGGCTCAGTGAGTAAGACGCTGGCTCACCACTACTAATAAAACTAATTGTTGATGAGACACCCACATATCAATTATTTGTAATACACTAATTATTGATTATACACTAATTGATAACACTAATTATTGATTACACACTAATTGATAACACATTAATTATTGATAACACGTTAATAATTACGGGAGCCACGGTGGCTCAGTGAGTAAGACGCTGGCTCACTAACCAGGGGGTTTAATCCCGGTGTTGGTCGAAAACTTACCAGCATTCATCGGGTCAGTGCTGCACGACAGATGGCCTGCCAAGCACAGTGTCTAGATGTTTGGGTTGGATGAAACACTAAGGTCCCATGTATACTTTAAGAAACCTTGACAGTTGCAATTCGATATATGAGTAGACTGTAACGCTGCAATCCTGTCAAATTTCCTCCCCCGCAGCCCATTACCCAGTCGGGGCAGCACAGTAGGATGTTAAACCCCATTTCATTTCACTAATCAATGCACCAATTACACGGAAATAATTACACTAGTTATTGATAGCCCGCTAATTAACTCATTATAGATAGCGCAAAAATGATCGCGTACTAAGTAACTAACCATTGATAGCGCACTAATTATAGTACGCTGGAAATTAAACCAATTATTGATAACACGCTAATTAACTAATTATAGGATAGCGCACTAATGATCGCGTACTAATTTACTAACCATTGATAGCGCACTAATTATATCACGCTAGACATTAAACTTATTATTGATAGTACACGAAATAACCAATTATTATGACACACTAATTATAGCACGCTAACAATTACATCAATTATCTACTGCACATTTATCGATTACACCAATTATTTAGGAGACGTAATTATTACACTAATTATTAATAACAATTAGATTATTACACCAATTATTATTATCACCACATCATAATTAAACCCATTATTTATAAAACTAGTTACATGTATTACCTCACGTTTTATTAATACAAATACAAGTACAAACTTTATAATTATTACACCCTTGATCCGCACACATACAATTACACACTTTATACTTATAACACCCTTGATCAGCACACATACAATTACACACTTAATAATTGTTACACCCTTTAGAATTACTACGCCCGTGGACTTGAACTTAATCCACCAGGCAAGCACCAAACACTGATTATGTAAATCGTTGATAACACTACGCGATAATAATTTACAAAGAAAAATATATAATTAGCTGAAATAGAAAAAACAAAACTGAATGTAACTGAACGATGACATAAGTGGGGTAGATTGCTAATTATTGTATCAAATACTCAGGGGGGTTTTATGTACTTGATATCATTTGTACTTGATAACGATACTTGTCGAAACGCCGTGCCATATGTGTATAAAACAGTGATTGTATTCCATATAAATTGTGTTGTGATTTTTTTTTTTTTTTTTTTGTGGTTTTATGTTTTTTGTATTATTATTATTGAAAAATTTATAAAGCGCACAGCTTCCACTGTTAGATGCCCATATGCGGTGTACACAATTAAAAGATATACATACATAAAAGGTACATATAAATAAAAGGGCATCGATGCGAGGGAACATCGACGCATGTGTCTGGAGACCACGTTAATTGAATCTAAGCATCGAGCCGATTGACATTTAGAATTACATTATTTTCAGTTCTTATGATACTATTTGATAAATTATCTATTAATTTTAAGTGAGATTTCAATGAATTAAACGTACAAAAGTAAAAAATAGCGTAAGATTAAATACATGGTTATGAGGGAATAAATGATGTACATCAAAAATAACAAATAATAATACAATAAATAACTAAACAATAATGGCAAAATAATTAACTACTGGCAAATGTACACAGAAAAAAACAAAAATGAGAAAATAATTAACTACCGACAAGTGTACACAGAAATAAATAATAATGATATATACATTGAATGTTGATAATAGAACAATATTTTTAAAAGAAACTAAGGCGGGGGATTAAACGCTTAAAAATGAATTATGTAAAATCCAAATATGCCCATTGCCGGTCTTGCTCTTGACATCAAATGGTAGCCTATATGAATTATTATTTCGACATTTATTCACATTACAAACCAATAATCAACTCTCTAGCTTATCCGTTGATCGCGATTTTGAAAACTATTATTATTACAGCATATTTATAGTGCGCTCTTTCATGTTATAACATGTTCAGGGGCACTTTACAAAGTGACAATGTAATCATAAATAAACAACAAGATTATGGACATGTTAACGATTGTATACAAGCCAAATTAAATAAATGTGTTTTAAGTCAGTTAAAAGCCAAATTAAATAAATGTGTTTTAAGTTGTTTTTTTAAAAGAATATAGAGATGTACATCTTAAACTAAAAGGTAGATTATTCGATAAAACAGGTGCTTGTTAAGTAAAAGAGCGCTGACCATAAGAGACTAGTTATTATTATAGCAATAAAAATCTAAATCTTACATAATGTCTCTTTAAGTATTCTGCTCTAGATGGATTGACTCACAGCATTAAGGGAGACTGTGCTAGACCTTACTAATGAACCCCACGATATATTTCCGAAAATGTTGTACCCCAACCCCCATGATATGTTTCCGAAAATGTTGTACCCCCCCCCCCCCAATGATATGTTTCCGAAAATGTCCCCCCCCCCCTTTCAAACATTAAAAGCCAAAAAAAACGTGAACACTGATTGGTTTAGCCCCTAAAACACTTATTGGTTTAATCCTTTTGCGTATTGATCATAAATTTAGCCACCCTCGTCTTCTGGAAAAGCAGGAAGCCCTGTTCTCTGAGGCTGGTGCCTTCGTCGACCTATTCCGTTATCAGGTAAAGGAAATTCTAAGGGCCGTCTTCTGTAGGGGGCGTAAACTGGATTTATTAACAGATCGACGTGGTTGATGGCTGGAATAAACGGCGCAGGAGGTAAGCCCGGGTTCCATGTTCGCGGACGTTTTCTTTTGGCCTTTATAAATTTTTTTCGTGGATTGTGATGAGTTCTTAATATCCGAGGAATTGGAACTTAAAATATAAATTTAAAATAAGTCATTATAATGAGACATGGAAGGACAACGTGGCAACCTTGAAGGGAATTCTTACCCTCACCAAGAAAGTAAATGCAATCCAATCTTATCATATCAGTATCTCTTTGCATCGTTAATTATAGAATAAATCTCAATCACTGAGCTACTTGATTTATGGAAACCCTAAGCACGGACCTTCGCAGACTTATATAATATTGAGAGAGAGATAGAGAGAGTGGGGGGAGGGGGGAGGGGGTATAACATCACTCGACACAAAATTTATAGCGTTTTCTCCTGTTCAACCTCGTGGGTTTTCTCCGGGTCCTCCTGTTTTCTCCCACTGCTAAAGACCCCTACGCGCAAGTGAATTATTGAAATAAAATTGAACCATATATTAGTCCCGAAATGATCTAGTTTGTGTCGAGTGGACGTACCCCCCTCCGTCTCTCTATCTCTCTCTCTCTCTGACATCAAAGCCACTATACAAAAAACATCTATATATTTCAAAAAATGTTTCCTTCGGTCGCTTTAAATACCATTTTTCTGTATTGTTTTTTTTTTATTTTAAGTACGGCGGCGGACCCTATTCTATCTTCTAATTCTTACCTCTGTTCAGAAACCACGGTCTTGTAGTAGTCCGAACCGGACGCAATCTGTACGCTTCTAATTCTTCTGGTGTTCCAAACCGGCCAAAATGAAGAGGTAAAATATCTACAATAAATAACACCCAACAATAATAAAAACTTATTAGTAGGACAGTCTAGAACATTTAGAGTAAAGTCCGAAAAATAAAAAAAATTAAAAATTAAAAAAAAACCTCTATAAAAGGAATGCATTTTTTTTCTATCTCGAACATATTGTCCACTTTTTGTCCCATTTAATTGAATTGGATGAGCTTTGTAACCCAAATAAATTAATCAATGTTTGGATTTTTATTGGACACTTAGCAGATTTAAAAACCTATATATTTACGGCGATTCATATTTTTATTCCTAAAATATTTTTTTTTTTATTCTTAAAAATTGATAAACCTAACATATGTTTTACAAAATTAATTTTAAAAGAATTACCATTGTTTTCTCTCGGTAGTAATTTCCTGTTGTGTGTGGTAAACATACAAAAGACGGCCAGAAAACTCAACATACGAATGAATCAGAGAATACGAACCAGTTTTCCCAGCCGGAAGAAATAATGCAATGACGTTTGAATCCCACTACTTTCGGTTTTTCACTTGTCAAATCTTGCGTAGACTCAAGTACCTAGTATTTCATCACAGCACAATATGTTATATTATTTTACATTCTGGTTAACCGAGTGAAAAGCGGAAATGTGCAAAGAGTTGTCTTCTGTATTAAGTATGGCGGAGGAGGAGGACTCGAAAAATGAAAACAAAAGTTTATTACAGCGAATGCTGGCGGCCATCAAGGAAGAAAGAAGTAGACACCGTCAAAAGATAGAAATTATAGGTAGAACTATGTCAGTATATGAAAATATGTGAAAACCCAGCGTCAATAGATAAGAAATAGCCGAGTAAAAATGGTTGAAAATGAGCCTTTCTTGATCGGTGATTGATAGTCACCAGTGTCGTAGCTGTGAGTGAGTCACGAGAAAAACAATCATTAATTTTTATTTAAACCATAGTAACACGATTTAATCTTAAGATAAAACGTAATGAGTAAATTAAAGAATAATGCCAATGTCTGTATTTATATTGATTTCATGAGTCATTAAATCTAATCTATACAATGTTGAATGTATTAAAAAAAAAGTCACTATTTAACTATTTATTATTATGTAGACAGGTAATGCTAGTTCAAATCTTGTTATTTTTATAACGGATATTCATAACTACTGTCTGATTCATCGTAAATTTTAAACGGATTTCTTCGATTATGAACAAACTACTTAACGTTGGTTATTATAAACTTACCTGTGTGTTTGTAATGAACTCCCGTTTGATAAAATCCATTGCACAACTAATTATCACAACGATGAAAACAAGTTCTCTCTTGAAAAATTGAAATATCACAAACTTTTCCCAGAGAAAAATACCAATATGGAAGATGGTTACGTCACTCTGCGGAAGATATCATTTCGTATTAGGGGTGACAGCATAGGAAATTCAAGTACAATTACGACAAGAATCCATGACCACTCGGACCAAAGATCACTCGGTTCAAGACCAGTCGGACCAAGTGATAGACCACTCAGCCCAAACAAATAGACTACTCGGACCATACAAAAAGACTATTCGGACCCAACAGAAAGACGACTCGGACCAATAATAAAATGTTGTTTTAATAAATTGATAATTGCGTTTGTTTTAATGATATAATTAATTGAACCAATAATAAAGTGTTATTTTAATAAATTGATAATTGTGGTTATTTTAATATGACCACCCGACCCAATAATAAAGTGTTATTTGAATAAATTGTTAATTGTGTGTGTTTTAATATGACTACTCGAACTAATAATAACGTGTTGTTTGAATAAATTGATAATTGTATTCCAAATCGCAAAATATCGAGAACCACACTTGTAGTCACGTTTAAAAAGGGGCATATAAACGTCCGGTCTTCGTATTATTATGTGCTGTTTATATTAACGCATCAAGGGCGGATAACTTGAAAACGTGTCTCCCCCGCCCCCCATATATAGTAAGCCAGGGGTTAGTGGGGTAGAACGGAATGAAACCACTGGGGATACCGCGAATGTGGAAAAAGTAAAATTAGGCTATCAGACAAGAACAGTATACCCGTATATGTAGAAACTGTCAAAAGTCTGGACATACCGAGTCTCATTGCAAGAGTAAAGAAAAATTAGATTGATATTTTTTTTTGGCACCATTATTAATTAATTTTAAAACTAATCGTTGATTTATTTACATACACAAAATTGAACCAAACAACTCTAAATATAAGAATTCCGTATAAGAATTATTTGCTTCTTTGTATTGTGATTTAATAATAAATAAATAGCATATTGTCTAGCCTTATAATATAATTTAATTGGTCCGACTGGTCTTGTTTTGGTCCGACTGGTCTTAGTCCGAGTAGTCTTTGGTCCGAGTGGTCTGGATACCTGCGACAATTGGCATTGAGTTTGAGCGTTCGCACACATAACTACCCGCATTCCTGTATTTAGTTACCGTCTTTTACATTCTAGTAAAATCTCTGCAAATTTTATAGCTTTACTTTTTGAAATATTTTGTTCTAATTATTTGATTAGCGACTCGGATGGGATTATTTACTTTTGAACACGCATGCCGCACAAACACAACTATACATTCGTTTTACGGGCTTTATCACACTTCGGTCAAAACTGTCGAATCGAAAATTAATGCTCCGCTTCTTACAGGGTCATACGGGCTTAGTAGCATTATATACCCACCCGGGCACCCAATAGGCACGCTGAGGGCTGCCGCAACATGCTTAAAGATGTTACTGAAGCGGTTATTATTCGATCGAAAGAATGCGTATAAAATTAAAAATACACTCAGAGAATTCGGAGGTAAGCTTCATGATCCTTGTTAAATTATTTATAACATAAAGAAAATAGGATATTTATAGTTTATACATGACTTTATTTTTACGAGTATCCGTGCAATCAGTGATATTTTAATTGTGAAGAAAATTTGATAGACTGGCGATCAATGGTTTCCATATAAATCTCCTATGTAATTGCCTTCAATTGATATTTTTCGTCGCCCAAACCCATATACGATCAAAATGATCGCGCTGTCAAACTATCTTTCAATGTTAACCAACCCCCGCAACAGGTATATTGGATTCGACCAATACGTCACGAAGACATTGTTGACATCGACTCTGTCGAAATTACAAGTAAATTTTCAAATTTTTCAAGAGAGAAATTGTTCTCATCGTTGTGATAATTAGTTGTGCAATGGATTTTATCGAACGGGAGTTCATTACAAACACACAGGTAAGTTTATAATAACCAAAGTTAAGTAGTTTGTTCATAATCGAAGAAATCCGTTCAAAATTTACGATGAATCAGACAGTAGTTCAGATATGAACGTAATAGCCAGTTGAACAGGTTGAAAAAAACCTGGGTATCATTAAACAAGTTTAACTTTGTCGTCTGAATGCAAATGTGGGGCAAATAAACCAGTTTAAAACCCCAGCTCGCGACTTGTCTTCGAGAAGGCTTTTTATTTTAAACTGGTTTATCTAGGCTGTCTGAACGGGTTGAACATGCGCAGTACGCAGTAAGTTACATTCCTGGGAAAATGCTGGCGCCATGCAGTGCCAGTGTTCTTAAAAAAGGTGCAAGAACCGAATAAAGAATATGAAGCTACCCATGCGTAGTTAACTCTAACCTCCAACCGAAGAGGTCAGAATAGTTAAACTGGTTTGGCTTATAATATGTGTTAACGCAACACAATGCTGTCTGAAAAAACCCTGGCGATTTTGAACTGGTGTAAAAAAAAGTGTCGAAACGGTATATAAGTTCTTGTTACACTTGCCCTATACTTTCAGGAATGGGCCTATTGAATCCTTGTTGAAACTTTATCAATGCCCAGTAAATTTTATTGGACAAATCTTCACTGCTAAACGGTCTCATGTCAGTCCCCGCGAACACCTGTACAATGTAAAGGAACATTTTAGTGAGAAAATAAGACCTTGTTTATCTTGCTTGATTCATTATGTACAACACAACATGCTGTTAAACATATGTCCCCTTCTTCTAAATAGCTTGTAAAGTTTAAAGTATACTGATCATTTTTACATACAAAAAGAAAGCAAAAACAGTAAAAATGTGTTGCTTCATTTAAAATACAGGTTTTTTGGGGTAATTACAGTTGTTTTGGGTAAATCTATTGACCGGTCTTGATTAGGTCGGTGTAGGTCAGTATAGAATGTTAAACCACATTACATTTATTGGTGAGTCGATTCAAAAAAATGTTTTTCTATTTTGTGTTAAAGATGATGGTGGGTTTGAGTTTGTAGCAGTGGACAGATTTTGGACAGATCTGTTTGAAGAATATTTTTTAGAATCCGAAGGAAGCGAGGAAGACAAACGGGATGATATGTTATTTTATGTTCGTAAAACTCAGCAAGAAAAGAACAAACCTTCTACATTACAAGTAGGTCCAATTTATTTTAGGAAATTGCGTGGCCGAATGGTTAAGGCATTGGATCAAAAGGTCTGTCATTGAGTCAACTGGTGTGGTTTCGCTTCTCCGATTGTACGTGACAAGGAGTAGAGTCGCCTATCCCACATCATGGGTTTCCTCTGAGTCCTCTGTTTCCTCCCACTTCTAAAGACCCCTTTGTGCAATCGAATTATTGAAATAAAATTGAATCATATGTTAGTCCCAAAATGGCCTAGTTTGTGTTAAGTGGAATTAAACCCTGTTTCTTTCTCTCTATTTATTTATTGATTTCTGTGAGATGTCAAAGATCATGTAGATATCAAACAATGTTCTGAGGTATAATCTCATTCACCGATGATATAAATAAACCCTTAGGCATATACAGTACGGAGATCGTGAAAGTTTGACCAAGCACGATTATCGTGTCGTTTTTTGTTGAAAATTGCCACGATAACGCCACAATAAATAACGCCACGATAAATAACTCGGTGTAGCAGTCATGTGACACGATAGGCCTCGGTGTAATTTGATATGTAAAATTAATGATATTTATCAGTCATAAACAATTGATGTCAAAAAGATATACTGCCACGATGTTAACAAACTGCCACGATATTTGAAATGTTGAATAGTTTCGTCAATAATCCTGACACGAAAAGCCGGGATATCTAAAGTTAAAGGATAATATGGTGACATTCAAAGTGATGACTGAATGAAGGACTGAAAATCAATACTTTGTTTATTGTCGCTAGTCTGGGGGTCGCAGGTTTGTTCCCGGTGTTGACCGAGACAGTTCCTTGGGATTCTCCTTGTTAGTGAGAGAGAGAAATGGGGTTTAACGTCCACTCGACACAAACTAGGTCATTTCAGGACTAACAAATGGTTTAATTTTATTTCAATAATACGCTTGCGCGTAGGCCGTAGGGGTCCTTTGCAGTGGGTGGAAACTGGAGGACCCGGAAAAAACCCATGAGGTTAGACAGGGGACCCTACTCCTTGTCACGTACAACCGGGGATTCGAAACCACACCAGTTGACTCGATGACAGGCCTCATGATACAGCATGCACGTGCTAACCATTCGGCCATCCAACCCCCCTCCTTGTTAGTGGTGTGTCTAGTTATTTGGATGGGACAAAAAACAGGTCGCATGTATACATCAATTTGCATGTAAAAGATCCCTTGGCAGTTGAAATTCGATATTAGAGTAGGCCATGGCGTCAATGTCAGGGTAAGATTTCTCTCCTAGCACACTGTATGGGGGTATGCCCATCTTCATTAGCCCAGCTGGAGCAGAACAGTAGGACATTAAACCCCATTTCATTATTGTAGCAATCCATGTTACTTGAAAATCAACAATATGAGCTGTCAGTTGGCAGTCATCAGTCACAATTAAGACTATTGCTGTTTGTCAAAACTTCAAACCTTTATAACTGGACTGAAATGTTCAATATAACCATTTTTCATTATCTATTTTTCAACTATTATTTTAAAAAATGGTCAACTCTTTATTTAAATCTTCAATAATGCCTCTTTCATTCCTAGTTCAATCGGGGGGTTGGGTGGCCGAATGGTTAGCACGCTCGCGCTGTATCATAAGGCCTGTCATTGAGTCAACTGGCGTGGTTTCGAATCCCCGGTTGTACGTGACAAGGAGTAGGGTCGCCTGTCCAACGTCGTGGGTTTTCTCCGGTTTCCTGCCACTGCTAAAGACCCCTACGCGCAAGCGAATTATTGAAATAAAGTTAAACCATATGTTAGTCCCAAAATGACCTAGTTTGTGTCGAGTGGACATTAAACCCCATTTCTCTCTCTCTCCTCGTCCAATCAAATCTCTCCTAAGTACAGCAACATGACAGCCCTTCGTTTAATCTGGGGTCTTCCCTAAAATTTTTGACAGGGTATTAAAAACTGTGAAAGTATTGTTTACATTGTATCCATTTTAATAGCCTCGTTTGTCACACAATTAGTTTTTCTGCAACATTCTTCTATGCACTGGTTAATTGGGCATAATAAAATCATGAGTCATGACATAACTTTATGTAAACAAATTTGGTCCAGTTTGGAGCTCTGGTTAAAGCGTAATGATATTGTTACACAGTTAGGTATTGGTTGTTAATCGGACTATTGACCAGTCATAATTTGGAACAGAAATTTGCTTTCATTATGGCAGTGTTGAGTGGGATTAGGTCATCAGCAAAACACTACGAAGAGTATGCTTTCATTTTATTGTTGTTGTTTTTCCAGCCTGAGATAGAATTGTATCTTTAAGTGATGCCTCTGTTATTATATAATCGGGGGATTGGGATGGCCTAGTGGTTTAGAGTGCTGTGCTTCGACCTCTAGCTGGCCGATCACCTCTGGCGTGTGGTTGTGGTTTTGATCGCTGGTGTGAGCGTTTGTGGCTTGGAGATAGGTGCACCTTCGCAACTCGTGTGGGTTTACTCCGGGTACTCCAGTTTCCTCCCACAGGAAAGACCCCTGCGCATGCGCTAAGATAATAAAAAAAATAAGATAAGACTTGTCTGCGATATCACCTTCGGTGGAAGCGGACATTAAACACTAAGAACAACTATTATATGATTGTTGTTTTCCAGCCTGAGATAGAAGTGTATAGATGGGTGTCTAAAAATAAACCTGGTTTAGATGATGGTAATATAGACTGGGAAGAAACAGTTTATTTAAATATTATATTACATCAGGTAAATATTATATTACATCAAGGTAAATAACATATTAATGATTGGTCGAGATCTGATTAAAACACAGATCTTATTTCGTTTTTTATTGTTAAAAAATTTGTTTTACTTGTCTTTACTACACTAGGATCTGGAAGAGTTGTTATATAACCCGCGTTCTGGATGATGTGAGGGGTTAGCCAATTAATGGTCTGTTAAGGAAAGTTGTTGGCGTGATGTGCACAGAACTGTGGGTAACCCACTAGAAATATCAACGCTGATTGATTAATTAAATGTCTGACATCATAGGGTCAAAAGCCGCTCGTATGACCTCTGACGTGGCCTTCCACTACAAGTGGTCAGATCTTCATGTAGTATAGGCCATCGAAAGTATAAAAACACGAAACGAAATATAGATCTGTATATTTTAATCAGATTGAATTATTGATCTATTGACAGTAAAGAAATATTAAAACAGCTCCATGAATGGTGGAGATCTGCCAAATATAGCTCCATGATCGGTGGAGATTAGCCATATTCAAATATCAGCCAAATTCAAATATCGTCCAATTGGCAGTAAAGAAATATTAATATAGCTCCACGATTGGTGGAGATTAGCCAAATTCAAATATCGTCCAATTGGCAGTAAAGAAATATTAATACAGCCCCACGATTGGTGGAGAGCAGCCTAATGTTGGCCAATCGGTAGAAGATATAAAATTTAAAAATACATGTAGTTTAAAAACATACACTAGGTTGAATAAGTGAGTCATTAACTAGTGTCAATTATTCTGAATTCTGTGTTTAACATAAACACTGCATCTATAATTTAGTCAAATATTAGGCTGCCTGGCTGTCTGCTACTTCAGTGTTTTGTCTCCAATAAAAATTTTCATATTGTCTGCGGATGAAAAAACATGTTGTAATTTTTCAGTTTGAATATACAGTAACATGTGCTATATGTACGAGAACTAGTGATAAAGACTTACAAACGTTACGGAAATTCTCACAGGTAGAACTATTTTATATACTGACTACAACAACATGATACTAAAACCATGACGGGGGTGGGGGGTGGAAGGCCAAATGGTTAGCACGCACGCGCTGTATCATACGGTCTGTCATTGAGTCAACTGGCGGGGTTTTGACTTCCCGGTTGGACGTGACAAGGAGTAGGGTTTTCTCTGGGTCCTCCGTTTTCCTCCCACTGCTAAAGACCCCTACGCACAAGCGTATTATTGAAATAAAATTGAACCATGTATGAGTCCCGAAATGACCTAGTTTGTGTCGAGTGGATGTTAAACCCCATTTCTCTCTCTCTCTCTGTAACCATGATACAAATGTATATATATGAGCTGCTCCCACAAAACCAGGCTCTTGGTCATTTTTATAAAATAGAGTTGGTAGCATATTTGAATAGTCCACAGCCTAAGCTTTCCAAAAATGCAATTCTTTTTAAATTTGTTGTATCATCTGGAGTTGAGTTCGGCTCATTCACAGCAACAAGAAGGCATACAGTTTATGCTTTTGTGCCCGTTGTACATCATGAAGTTGTGCGACAAGCGCCTGGTTTTGTGGTAGCGAGTCACATATATTGACTGGACTGGAATGAAATAGTGTGTAATGTGTCATTAACATAATACTCTTGTTAGATATAATTGATAAGGCCAACTTCAAGTTTGATCAAAGGTCACGAGATGTAAACAGAGTTAGCGCTAATCCCAACCCTAACTCTAACCCTGGACCTAGCCCAAATGCTTACCCAACAACAGGATCATATCCAGGAACTCTTGGTTGGTAAGCAATCACTTTACTAAATGGACCATTGTTGTATCATTTCTACTTTTAGCCAACATTTAAACAGGTATTATGTAAGATTTTGATAAAGAGCTTGACATTCTCGCTATAATATTTCAAAAATAGGCAATGCAAAATGAATATATTGAAATTTCATTCAAATTACTTCATTTTGACCGAAGTTATCAATAGTTGTAGTTTTGACAAGATGTGTGCATTGATCGTAACCACCATACTGGTCAAGGTCGCGTGTTCGAGCCCTGCATTGGAGGAGAAAGTTCATTAGGATTTTCCGCCGTGGTTTCCCCTTGACAGTCGTGCAGGATGGAGGGCCTGACAACTACAGCTGTCTAGTCACTCGGAAGAAACAGAAAAACAAGGTCCTGTGTATACATTGGCATGCATGTAAAAGATCCCTTGGCAGTTGGATTTCGGTATAAGAGTAGGCCATAGTGCCACTGCCCGAGCAGAATTTCCCTCATAGCACACTGTATGGCGTATGCCTGTCTTCATTAGCCCAGTTCGGAGCAAAACATTAGGACGTTAAACCCAATTTCATTTCATCAAGCATGGAAATAAGTTACCTGTCACAGACAATTTCAGGCACAGATTCAGGCTTTGTCAGACACTAAACCTCTGCTGCTTATCATTTTTTGGCGTACTGATTTGTCTGTTTAATTGATATTATAATACATGTCCGGCACTAAGTTGAAAATGTCAGGTACTATTTCATTAGTGCCTGACATTTTGTCAGGTACATCTAAAACCATTATTTGCAGGCTTGTTTTATTAATTCTATTTTTAGCGTGTTTATCCTTCACCTAGTAAAAGAGAAATGTCTGGTAAAGGAACGGAAGAGAAAATAACCTACCCTAATATATTCTTCACTGTTGATAATTTTGAAGAGGTGAGTGAAGCTCCGACACTTAATTTCGACTAGGATTAATTTGCTTCAGGGCCGTAACTAGGTCAGAGCAACGAGGGGGGTGGGAAGTGTTCTCGGAGGTGCTGTAAAATTGACAATGTATATCTATGGTCGACAATTTTTTTTACAGGGGTGGGGGAGGGGGGGGAACTCTTTATCCCTAATTACGGCCTGATTTGCTTGTATACAGTTTTAGAATACTGTATCATTAAGATTACAAGATGGGGCTTTAACAGAACATAGTTTTTATGGGATACAATCACTAGTTTTATTCTAAAAGCACGACGTTTCGACAAGTATCCTCTTATCGTTATCGAGCACAATGACATTTAGTAAACTTGAGGTCCAGATGGGGCTTATTACACTGTTATAAGATCAGAAAAGTAGGTTTGATGGGAGCAAGAAAATCGCCAACCATTTTATCATTTTTGTTTTAGTTTACAGTAAATTTCGTTTAAGTCTGATCTAAGTAGACGGACCAATTTTATCCGAGTTAAACAAAGATCTGAGTTAGCCGAAGATCTAGTTCAGCTCTGAACGTAGGTCTCATTATCGCCCTGTACGTTCAGGAACCGTCCTATTGAATCCTAGGCGAAATAAAATCGGTTCCCAGTCAATTTTACTGGGCAACTTTTTACTACTTTAGTCGTGTGTCAGTCTCTGAGAAGGCCTGAACAATGTAAGACCTTGCTTACCTCGCTAGAGTCAGTATGTGCAACAAATCATGCTGTTAAAAATGCATCCCCTTCGGCTTTGGTGGACGCCATTCATTGAGGTCTAGATGAAATGAAATGAAATTTAGGTAAGCTTGGGTGGGGAAAAATTAGAATCGTTGAAAAGCTGAGAAACTTCAATAATTGCTTTGCCTAGCCCAATTACAATCAAATTTTTTCAAAAATTCCAATTTCGTTTCGTCTTATATGGCCGAGTTGTGTAAATTTATGTGTTGCTCTGTATTTGGATTTCAATGGCGTTTGGTGGAGGGGAACGTATTTTTAACAGCATGTTGTGAACATACTGCCCATCTGACTTAGGCGAAGGAAAAAAAACAGAATTAGATCAAATGGACCGAACATTTTGATCCAAGTTGATCGAAGATCAGACTTAAGAAATCCGACTTACATGCGATTTTATCCGAGTTGAGCGAATATCCGGCTTATACGAATCCGACTTATGCAAGGTTTATTGTAGTTTATAAACTGTTGATTTAATTGCCAGTGATTTTATTTGTTCTTTTTAGTATATTTTATACTGGCAGTTGTTCCACCGGCAGGCTTTCCCTGTTATAATAGTACAAGATAGTGAAAGTATAAATCATTATAAATATTATATTTACAGGCCTTTCAAGATATAATAGTGCGAGATAGTGAGAGTGTAAATCATTATAAATATTATATTTACAGGCCTTTCAAGATATAATAGTGCGAGATAGTGAGAGTGTAAATCATTATAAATATTATATTTACAGGCCTTTCAAGATATAATAGTGCGAGATAGTGAGAGTGTTGTAGTAGAATTATTAGCAAGAGATAAAGATGGAGATTTTGAAAATGTAATATTTCTCGGATCAGTTAAATATGATGCTTTAAAAAAAGTTTACGATGGTAAAGTAAGTGGATCATAATCGATTAAAATTTACTTTGATATAGGATGGCGTCATCTATGGCAATATATGGCGAGATCAGATTGGGTTAAAATGCACAGAATTATATGCTGTCATGTTCTTATCTTTATTCTGTCAATGTACAAATGTCTGTTAACCTGTATTCCCCTTGTCTGGAGCAGAACGGAGGACCTAGTTGTTTAGTTGTCTAGTTGTCCGGGTGGCACGAAAAAACCTGTGTCCACATTGGCAAGCGCATAAAAGATCCTGTGATTGGAATTTGATATAAGAGTAGGCCTTGGTGTGGCTGTACAGGCACAATTTCCCTCATAGTACACTGTATGGCGTATGCCCATCTTCATTAGCCCAGTCGGAGTAGGACATTAAACTTTACTTCATTTTTTGTTAACCTGTAAGTTATTCTGTCAATATACAAAACAATATCGCACAGAATTTTCAAAGTCCGTCCAACAATCGTGTTTTAGACAGACCTGTACCATTGTATTTTTCCGTTAATTTACTTTCAGTTAAGTTTATCATCCAAAATGGCGCAGCGTATGACAATGGGGTGGCTACAGAATAACAACAAAAGGGTTGAATTTTTGCGGATGCGTGGTCCACTAGGAAAAGGTCATGCAGAAATGGCTGTTAGCAGGGTCAAAGGATCGGGACCAGAAACTCCAGATATTGAAAATTTTCCATCAGAAGATTTTGATGACTCGGATTCGGTAAGTATATTAATTGTAAAATTGAATTTTATTTAAGATAAAGGCGACCATTTAAAAGATCGAGGTTAATCTAGTTGATCTTTTTCCTGATCTGATTAAAACACAGATCCTATTTCGTTTCGTTCTTTTTTTAAAGTTCAAAATTTCATTTTACTTGTCTTTACTACACTAGGATATGGAAGAGTTGTTATATAAACAGCGTTCTGCTTGATGTGAGGGATTAGCCAATAAAACGGTCTGTTAGATGAGCTTTTGGCGTGAGGTGCATGGAACTTTGGGTAACCCACTAGAAAAATCAATGCTAATTGGTCAGATCTTCATGTAGTGTAGACCATAGAAAGTAAAAAAAGAATGAAATGAAATATAGATCTGTATTTTAATCAGTTCCTTATCTTATCGGAGGGGGGATGGATGGCCGAATGGTTAGCACGTGCGCGCTGTGTCATAAGGTCTGTCATTGAGTCAACTGGCGTGATTTCGAATCCCCAGTTGTACGTAACAAGAAGTAGGGTCGCCTGTCCAACCTCTTGGGTTTTCTCCAGGTCCTCAAGTTTCCTCCCACTGCTAAAGATCCCTACACATAAGCGAATTATTGAAATAAAATTAAACCATATGTTAGTCCCGAAATGGCCTAGTTTGTGTCAGTGGATGTTAAACCCCATTTCTCTCTCTCTCTCTCTCTCTTTATCTAATCTTACCTAATACTGCTTTAATATACATGTATAAAAGGTGTGCCGAGACAGCAATCTATCTTTAAAATAATCAAAAACTCAGAACCTTTCAGCAGTCAAAATAACCATGAAAAGGCTTGCTAAAGCGTTAGATATTTCGGATTACACATATAAAATGTGACTCAGTTTATTTACAGAATCAGTACACACATTGTTTATTATCGTAAGTAATGATAATCGAGGCTAGCCTAAAATTGAATCGCTAATATCTCTGTTCATAGTGAAGCAATATGACTGAAATATCAGCATATTCTGTTTTCCATATCTATTTTTTTAGCATAAGCGTCAACTCTTTATCTAATCTCCCATAGTGCCCCTTTAATGAACATGTATATAAGGTGTGACGAGAAGGTAATCTGTCTTTAAATAATCAAAAACCCAGATCCTTTCAGCCCTCAAAATAACCATGATAAGGCTTGCTAAAGAGCTTGATAACGGGGCCATTCCATGTCAAGTGGGTCAATTTTCAGAAATTTGGGAAATCGACCCCCTCGAAAAAAACTTGAAAAAATATATGTTATTGTACATGCAAAAACTAGAAACTACCCAATTTGAGCTGTATATCTTGACTAGAAAGGTAAAAACAAGATATCTGAAACTCAAGAAAATTATTGATACACATTTTGTTTCGAAAACTTATCAGTATCTCATGAAACTCAAATGCCCGTATCTCAGTCAATTTTCAAGCTACAGACCACAAATTTTGCACAGTTTCTAGTTTTTACAGGTACAATAACATATATTTTTTCCAGATTTTTTCAAGGGGGGCGATATCCCACCCCTGGTCCACTTGACATGGAATGACCCGAGGACGAGAGTATCCTCATCGCAACGTTGCTTAGTTTTAAACTCAGTAATTGTATATCCATAAAAATGTAACTTGCTTTAATATGTTCCATTACTAAATGCCAATTAAAGAAGATATAAAGTGTGGATTGGTTTATTTTCAGAATCAGTACACACATCGAAGAATGAGTGATCCAAGTTCTGGTATTGGTTCGTTTGTAAGAGGTGGATTCCGATCGTTAAGTATGAAAAAATCCCGATCGGAAACGGAGAGTGTTGAGGTAACCAACGGTGTCAATTGTCAGGAAGTTGAAGCCGGAACTATACAAGATGGTAATAATTCAATCTTTACAATAATCAAACTTGTATCTCTATCTTCATGTACAAGTTCGGGTTGGATGCTCGAATGGTTAGCACATAAGGCCTGTTATTGAGTCAACTGGCGTGGTTTCGAATCCCTGGTTGTACATGACAAGCAGTAGTGTCGCCTGTGCAACCTCGTGGGTTTTCTCCGGGTCCTCCGGTTTCCTCCCACTGCTAAAGACCCCTACGCGCCAGCAAATTATTGAAATAAAATTAAACCATATGTTAGTCCCGAAATGACCTAGTCTGTGTTTAGTGGATGTTAAACCCCATTCCTCTCTCTCTCTCTCTCTCTCTCTCTCTCTCTCTCTCTTTCTTTACCTAAATATTGCACTTGTTCTCATAACATTTGAACAACACCAAATAATAATAGATGATAGTTGTGATCTTTGATTTTGGTTTATTTTACCAGAGTTAGTAGAAGATGCTGATCAATATAATGGATTCTGGGGGAAATCGTTTGGTCAGGCGTGGCATTGGTTTAAAGAGAAAAGGCGAGCAAGTAGTGTGGCTCTTAATGCTTACCTCACCTTCATTACGTTACCATGGCATCGAATAGTAGCAGGTGATTATTGTATTATGTTTGTTATAATTTCATTAGGTTACACAAAGACAAGGGTTAGAGATTCACACGAATCTCCGAATCTAATTCATACAAGGACATATCTTGCCTGGCAACCGCTGGTTACTGTAATTTCTAATCAGTTATGTCCGGCGAAATACACACTCTTTGGTGTCTGTTTAGCTGCGTTCATCCAGTCACATCATTACAAATGGCACTCATAAGCATTCTGGCACGTGATCCGTGTGCCAAGTTTAAAAATGTCATTGTGTCTTTAATATTGGATATCAGAAGCCCATCTTTTCACGGTAAGATAACAACATCAATGTTGATTTAAATTGAGCAATAAATCGTGTTTTCAATGTCAAAGACTGTGGATGATACCGAGTTCAAGACTTGGCTACTTTTAACCCCATTTTATTTCTTTCTCAGTCCATACCCGCATCTGTTATATGATTTATTTTTGAGATTTCTGCGATTTTATTGAAATGAGCTGTTGGTATTTCTGCCTTTAAGTTGTTTTTATAGAGAATGAAAATATTGAATGTTTGAAAAGATTGTTTTGTCAGGTTATCATACCTATAAAATAATGGTTGACAGATTCTCAAACTGAAATGCCTCGTAGGTTTTCTCCGGGTCCTCCGCTTTCCTCCTACTGCTAAAGACCCCTACGCGCAAGCGAATTAAACCATATGTAAGTCCCGAAATGACCTAGTTTGTGTCGAGTAGACGTTAAACCCCATTTCTCTCTCTCTCTCTCTCTAACTGAAATGAAATGAAATGGGGTTTAACGTCCTACTGTTCTGCTCCTAAACTGGGCTAATGAAGACGGGCATCCACCATACAGTGTGCTATAAGGGAAATTTTTGCCCGGGCAGCGGCGCTACGGCCTACTCTTATATCGAATTCCAACTGCCATGGGAACTTTTACGTGCACGCCAATGTGTCAAACTGATTAAGAAACAGATTTGTATTGGCCTACACTACATGAAGATCTGACCAGTTGTAGTGGAAGGTGGCGCCAGAGGTCATACAAGTGGTTTTTGACCCTATGACGTCAGACATTGATTAACCAATCAGCGTTGATGTTTGTAGAGGTTTACCCACGGTTCCGTGCATCGCAGGTCAAGAACTTGGCGTAACAGACCTTTTCATAAACTAATCCCTCACTTCAACCAGAACGCGGGTTATATAACAACTCTTCCAGATCCTAGTGTAGTAAAGACAAGTAAAACGAAATTTTGAACTGGGCCCGGTTCCTAGAAAATTCTTAAAGTAAGCACAAAGTCATGCTTCACTTTTTCTTACGTAAGAAACTTATAAAAATACCATCCCTAGAAAATGCTCAAGACCATTCTTACGAAAGCACAAGTCAAGTATAAGTCTAAGCACATTGTGACTGGTAAAGTTTACCATAAACTGAGACTACGATGCTCTTTAACGTCATAAGAACAACTTTGGTATGCGAATTACGTCTTAAATTTGTCGTCTGCTTCATTGACGTCATATATATATTATATGGTTCATTTCGATGCATTTGACATGTCCCCTATTCACATATAAAATGTGCCACAAGATAAGAAACGAAGAGGCATACAAACTAACTGAAAAATTGTGAGAGCGCCTGATCTTAAAGTAGCCTGTGTGTTTGTAGCCTATTGTTTACAAATTGGCAAATAAAAAAAATGGTTTCAGGGTAGGCCTAGAAGCGAAATTTTCTATAGCATTCTTAATTTGAAATTTCTTCTGGAGAAAGATTTTCTGTCTTGTAATTGTCTCTTTGGTATCAAAAGGTGTCGAAAATGTCGTGGAATATCTCTACGGGCAGCCATCTTTTTGAAGCAGAAACAGACTTAAGGTTGGTAAGCAAGCCGTATACCTTGCTTGGGACTTGTGCTTAGATTGACTATGTTTAAGAACGAAGTTGTGCTTAAGTTTTTTCTTGGAACGCATAATAACGTTCTTGTGCTTACAATGAAGTCCACTTAAAATCTAAGCACAAGAACGTTCTTAAGAATTTTCTGGGAACACAAAATAAGGTAAGATTACTTAAATGCAAAGTCTACTTAAATCTAAGCACAAGAACGTGCTTAAGAATTTTCTAGGAATCGGGGCCCTGATCTATGTTTTAATCAGACTGACAGATTGTATTAATTAACTTTATTTATGCAATAAAGGTCTATGATTTTATTTCTCCTTGTCATTTGAAAGATCATACTTTCAAATAAAACTATTTTTTGTTGTCAACAGATGACCTGAAATGACATGAAATTAGGTTAACGTCCTACTTTCTCTACCAGCTGGGTATTGAATACGACCAAAGTGTGCTATGAGAGAAATTTTACCCAATGAGCCGTATTTCGACTTACGTTCACGCCAACATGTGCACGATACCTTGTTTTTTTTTAATCCCATCCGAACAACTAGCCATTGTTCTATGCAAGGAGTCAACTGGCATGGTTTCGATTTCCTGGTTGTACGTGACAAGGAGTAGGGTCGTCTGTCCAACCTCGTGGATTTTCTCAGGGTCTGCCAGTTTCCTCCCACTGCTAAAGATCCCTACACGCAAGAGAATTATGGAAATAAAATTGAACCATATGTTAGTCCCGAAATGACCTAGTTTGTGTCGAGTGGATGTTAAACCCCATTTCTCTCTCTCCCTTTCCCTGCCAGGTCCTTCGCCCTGCACTACTGACAAGAGAAAACCACAAGGAATAATCCAAAGGAATACCTTGATTGAGAGAGAGAACTGTGGTTTGATGTCCACTCGACATGACCTGGTTTACGTTAAACCCCTGTTTAATTATTGTCATTCGGTTTTATTACCAATCAGTTGGGAATGAATAATGGTAATTAATTACTTTCAATGCTGGTGTGTTGAGAATAGGTGTTTGGTAATTAATTACTTTCAATGTAATTGATGATGGGTAATTAATTACTTTCAATGTAATTATAATGGGTAATTAGTTATTTTCAATGTAATTATAATGGGTAATTAATTACGTTCAATGCTGGGATGTTGAGAATAGGTATTTGGTAATTAATTACTTTCAATGTAATTTTCAATGTAATGGTAATTACTTTCAATTTAATGGGTAATTGTAATTAATTACCTTCCATTAAATTGGTATTTGTAATTAATTACTTTCCATGTAATGAGTAATGGTAATTTTAATTCCATTGCTAAAAATAAGAAAGTGATTATAATGATTAATGAGAACTAATAACCCTATCAGTGATTCTATTCAATTAAAATATTGGTCGTCAAAAATAAAGGAAATAGGGCAATGGCTGTAATATGATAGACCGAAATTGGTCATCAAAAATAAATAAAATACAATAATTTAGGCCAACATCAGTAATATGATAAAACAAAATTGGCCGTCAAAAATAAATAAAATAAAATAATTTAAACCAATGGCTGTAATATGATAGGCCGAAATTGGTCGTCAAAAA